CACACACACACACACAAACGTTATGAACAACAGAAGTCACACTAATGGCTTGTAGAAGCATACAAATTGTAAGTGTAAACTGCTTCACTGTAACGAACACACAAACTTCAACAAAACCTGTTTAAGGAACAAAGCAGTAAAAGCATCTTTTATATTAAATTTTAACATTTACCAAAAATTAATTTAAGTAATAAACTTTTTGGACATACAGCCCTCATGGACTATGTAATACTACAGTACAGTGTAACAGTTTATGCAAATCATTTACATACCCGACAGTGGTCTTATGTGGCCAGAACATCTTGTTGAATTTACTCCGAAGTATGGACAAAGTTGATTCCACCAATAACCTCTGGAGCTGCATTGAAGAATCTGTTGTATGTATGTATGCTTTTATTTACATATGTGTGTGTGTGTGCGTGTGTATATATATATATATGATTTATTTCCTTAGTTGGATAACTGAAAGCAGTTAAAGCCCTTCCAGGCAGTTGCTAGCCACAAAGAAGCCAAAACCAATGGTAGGCCTGCCATCTTATAATGCCTCTAGAGAACACATTACACTAGTTTGAAAAGTACACCCTTCTGTGTTTTAATGATGTGTAGTTTAGATGAAGTCCAACTTTTCAGAGTAATATATCACTTTGCTTGCTGCATGCTTCTGCTGGTTTCTTGCCTGGCTTCCTCTTTGACCATGCAGATGGGAGCAATATGTTCCTCTGAAACATTGGGCTGTCTGTAAACTACATGGCTTTAAACCCAGAAGATCACGTGCTTTATAGTCACTACTGTCAGAAAATATTTACTTAAAAATGTTTCCAAGGTGTGTTTTTTTTAATTATTATGTAACAGAAACTGAAATTGCAATTGAAAGCTGGAAGTTCTGATCCTAATTGTATTTAATAATCTTTAGATTAAAAATGAAGTATGTCGTGTCTTCCCTCCTCTTTTTATTCATTTTTGTAAGGACCTTCAAATTCTATATAACAGAAAAAGTTCTTGAAGAATTGTAGTCAAACAGAATGCCTAATAAGACATGATGTTCTGTATTTCAGCATCAAACCACCATGAGGAGCCATGGAATACACGTTCTATTTTAGGAGGCAATAAAATCGGTATTAAGTATGTTCCATATCAGGTAAGTTGTGCTGACTGTGGACATCAACCTATGTAAACATTTGTGAGTGGAGAGTCTGTAGCAACAAAACAGTAACTACATATTTTTGAACTCTTGTAGTGCCAAAATTGAGTATGTCAGTAGTAAAAATGGGTTGCATGAGTGAGACAATCGTGCAAATATTATGTACTTCCCATGTTTCCCATCTAGGATATAACATTAATATAGGTTTTAGAGAAACAGAATATGAAGATGTAAACTTAATTGAATAGGAACATAATAGTAAACATGATGATGGATGTTATTATATCATACAAGTACAGTGTTTTCTAACTAGTTGAATAATTCTCAGCTGTCCTAGGAAGATACTATAGAATGTATTATCAATAGTTGCAAAGAGATTGTTGTTAAACACTTACTTTCATATCTTGAGGCTATTCTTTCTAAGAAGGTACTGTTTTCTTGTATCTGATAGTATGTAATCCTGTAGATGGNGAATGGAGAAATAATAATTTTGGACCTGTGAAAGATCAACAGAAGTGAGGAGAAACAGAGTAAGATAATCATGGCTGTTTTAACCCTTTAAAGCCCAGTGGTCACTACATATACCACTCACTTTTAGGTACTAGAACTCTGCATTCTGCCCACAGGGTGTACTTTTATGTTTACATGATTCTCACAATAAACAATGTTTTGTTTCCCTAAACAGCATTAACCAGTTGGTCTTTGTAGCAGATATATAATGTGTTTTGTGTGAGATACAGACTGAAGAATAACTGAGCTATGTGATTGTCACACATATAGAAACCTTGTATTCCAGTATGAATTTAAACTTTACAGTGTTATGTTTGTTAACCAGGTATTGCTTCAGAGGATGTGGCTAAATAATATATATTATACTGTGTCTGAAACATCATGGTGCATTATCACAATACAGTGTCATTGTTACAAAGTTAATAGATTAAATTTTAATGTGTGTGATGGAAACTAAAATTGTCATACTTGGGCCTTTTTTGGGCACACAGGACTTTTATTCCTTTTTTGGGCACACAGGACTTTTATTCCTTGAAGTTTTCTACTTAAGGTATGATGTACCATCAGAGATCTGTTAGACAGACATAGTTGATGGTACCAGTGTCTCATTCAATAAACTGTAATAATCCAAATTTGTGTTTCTCTTCTCTGTTTTTAGGTTTCACTGGCTACTTTTGAAGATGAAGAGGTAAGACAAATGTTATATAGTATAAACTTCAGTTCGTGGACAGCATTTCTTAATTCCAGCAATGAACTTGAAATTTTAGGTTTTCTATATATAGTGCTTGAAGTAAATGCCTCTTTGGCAAATGATATTTGTTTTTCCTTGTATCTTTTATGAAAACACATGTATTGAGTTGGATGTTCTTTGCTGTGAGGAGTTCACAGTAAAAGTCATATAGGTAACTATCTCATGAACTGTATCTAAACCTTCTTTGAGAGTTCATCATCTTCAGGTAGTGATGAATGTCATTAAATCATAATTAGAATGTTACTAGATTCTATTTTAAGATATGCTGGGACCCAAAATCACCATAATTGAAATTCCTTTGAGCACAGAATTTTTCTTCCATAATGTTCATACTTAAGATGAGACATGGTACTATAGGCCAGAAGTGGACGCAGTAAAAGGGACTTAGTCCCACCTTAATAACAATAATAATAATAATAATAAGGTGAGACATACCCTCACAATTGTTCAGAAGGACAATCATTTCTTATGTTGGTGCACCAAAACTAATTCATTACACAAGGGTATTCATTTTATTTGTCAGATGTGCGTGAAATATCTGCAAAAGTGTAAAGCGAGATGTTCAGATTAATTGGTTGCTGGCCAAGAAACAGATACTGTATTTTCAGTAGGAATTAATTTTATTAACCATCAGAATGGAGTTCATCACCTAAGATGCCCTCCCAGACATTGACTTGCCAATGATTTCTGGACTTACCTTGCCAGAGATTTTTTTGCTCATTTAAGTGAGTACCACCTTAAAGCCTGTAACCATTTTCTAAACACTGTGTGTGTTTGTGTTTGACACGACTCTGGCACTGTTCCAGGGTGTGCGCTCCACTGATCACATGTGTGGAGGTTCCATCATCAGTGTTAGTTGGGTTTTAACTGCAGCACATTGTGTATATGGGTAAGTTTATTTTGCATTACTGAATCTGTTGACAAGAGTTCAAGATTCTGGTCTCCTGGGTTACGACACTGCATAACAAGGTAGTATGAGCCGGGATAGCACAGTCAGTATAGTGACTGGCTATGAGCTGGATGATGGAGGGGTCGGAGTTTGAGTCCCAGTAGGGTCAAGAATTTTCTCTTCTCCGTGTCTTCCAGACCGGCTCTTGGGGCCCACCCAGCCTCCTGTCCATTGGGTACTGGGGGTAAAGCTGACCACTTATCTGTGACTAGTGCCGAAGTCAAGGAAACGTGGATTTATACATCCACTCCCCCATATACCTTCATGGCATAGTGCTTAATTAAGTGCAGGGACAACTTTACCTTATATCAAGGTAGTATTTCTACCTTGAGGATGGATGCAGGAGGTTCCTCTGAAACATCCAATTATCTTTAGTGAAAACTTTGAGACTCAACAAAATTTTGGGTTATGTGACTAAGATTCATCTGTACTTAGTTCAGGGCAGCTGATAATGCACAGTAATAAATAAGCATCAGAGGATTTGTACTGCTCCTCCCCCCCCCCCACACCTTTACTCCGGTATTGGTAGCTGCTACACATATTTTTTTGTTATAGCTGTGTAACACTTCACTTTTCAGTTCTCATTTTTCTTGTGGTTATGTTTGAAATGTGTAAGGTTAAGTTGACCTTGTGCCTTATCAAGCACTGAGCCATGAAGATGTATGTGGGAGTGGAGATAGAACTCCATGCCATTTTAACATTGGTGCTAGATGGAAGGGAGGGGTTAGCTTTATGACCCACTCACACTATCCCTGGTATGCATTAAATAGGAAAGTGGGTGGGGCCCAAAGTCACTCTGGATGCTGCAGGGTGCCACCTGTTCCCTGATCATCTATCCTGTAGTGTAGTTACTATAATGACTGAGCTACCCTGGCCCTGATTGTGTAAGACTTTCACCATTATCTTATAGCAGCCAGTTGTATTTGTAAGACATGTGCTATGTGTGCATTGCAGTATTGACCCTCATGATATATTGGTGCGTATTGGCTCTAGACTTAAGGATAAGGGTGGCCATCTGCACAAAGTGAGCCAAATCTTTGTACATCCAGACTTCAATGAAGATGACCTAGATTCTGATATTGCCTTGCTTAAGGTATGAATTTCTTCACAAGTATGTATAAATTGCGGCATGCAATAGCAAGGCACTACGTTACAAGCTGGAAGGTCATGGGTTCAATTATCGATGAGGTCATTTGATTTTTTTTTTTTTTCAATTTACCTAATCCTTCCAGCTGCACTATGGCCCTGGGGTCGACTCAGCCGCTAATAGAAATGAGTACCAGGAATCTTTCTGAGGGTAAAGGGCTGCCTGCGCATAAGGCTGACAACCTCACTGCCGTCTTTGAGCCAATTGTCTAGAAAATGTGGCAGCCTCGATGTCTCACAACCCTATGGGCCTTCACAGCCTGTTATAGGGATAACTTTAGTATGTATAAATTTGAAGGGTGTAATACCATGTAGTCTGATAGAAGTTCATTAATGTTTCAGAGGAATATACTGACTCCATCTTCATGGTGAATTGCTTGCTATCTGTTTCTTAAGCCTTTGCAGTGGAGTCAGTTCCTCAATTAATACGCTTCAGTGGTGAGCATGGAGACAGGATGTGCCTTTGAAATGTGTTATCGCTTACAAGACTACAAACTAGCATCCAAGAGGACTGAAATCTGAACAGACACTGCTGTGGAAACCTCAAAACATGTGTTGTAGGAGCTGAGAATGAGGTGACACTCAGTATGTGAACGTCATGTGTTGGTAAAGTCTTAAGTTTGGTAGCAGAAGGCTTCCAGTGGTCAGGTTATCCAGTAAATTATGACTTTGGAAGTTTTTTGACACAGGATAAGAAAGGGTTAACTTTTTCATTAAGTTGAGGTTTGTGAGTAGCTTCATGCTATAGTTGTTTTCTTCTTGAGTGAGCCCCAAGTTCCCATGGGATAGCAAGCTAGTTGGGCTCAGAGTTGCCTAAAGTAGAGGTGGATAAAAAGGTCTAGCATTTGCCTGTAATCAGACTACAGTTACTGAGTTGTAACCACACACTGGCTAATTTTATGAAGTAACAGGACTGAACTGGGGCAGGTTTTCTCCGAGTACTTCGGTTTCCCCTGCCAATCTTCATTCTGCCAGTTGCTCCACAATCACCCTCACCTACATCTGGGCCTGGTACAGAAGTGGCCGCAGTACAAGGGACTTAGTCCCACCCCACTAGCAATAAAAAAAAAAAGACAGTGAACAACTTTTACACTCTTTTAAAGAAAAATAAGTGATGCCAGAAAATTTAAATGTGCTGAATTTCATTCTGAGCTTCAACATTTTGTATGACACTACTTTCAGGGGAAAGGATGAACGCTTAATAATGGGATGTGTATACCCATTGCTAGACAGCAGGTCAGTAAGTGCAGTCACAGAACATGTTCATGCAACAATAGGACATCTATTGCTAGGCAACGGAGCTGTAAATCCATCCCAAGGCTATATACACACAGCTAGAATTAGAATTGGGTTGAGTTCTGGAGGTAGCAGTCCAAAGTGACTGAGAAGAAATGGCAAAAAAAGGAATTTGGCGGTGCAAAGTAGACTTCATGTATTATTTGAAGTGACAGTGAGACTGTGATAATTTTGTTGCCAGGATATGACTACTGACCACTGAGAACACTAGTGCATGTGGAATGGTGAACTTGAAAGTGTGTAAATCAGCGATAACGCTGTAATTGCCAGTAGTCCCGAGTTGTATGAATAAGGTGTTAGTAAAGCCAATCATCAAATCCAGAACCCTTCTTATAAGTCCATTCACACACCCTACAAATGACCGTATATATATATATCATAAGATAGCTGACTGGATGTGATGTCAGTCGATGACATGACAGTATCCTGACAAGTGGTATTGGTGACATTTGGTGTTTAACTGCAGCCCTACATTCGATGTTCTTCAAGCTGGATCTTGTTAAAGTTTTGGGCGTTTTCATACTTCTCAAAGGATTCACAAATAAAGTTTTCCAAAGAAAATGATGGAAGGAATTTTTGAGATCTGCACATAAAAATTAGCCAACTTTGCATTAAAGAAAGAAACTGATGCTGTACAATCCTTTGGTGCTACAGCTCCAATTTGGGCCTTGGACTACCTCCATGAACTTCGGTTTACTAGATCTTAGATATTATTAGGACCCCTTGGGCGGGTGATAAGATCGTTGCAAGGCCTCTACCTGTACACAAATACGGAAAAACACACAAACACCAAAAATCCATGCCCTGAGTGGGATTCGAACCCATGATCTTCTGAGCAAGTGAAGATTGGTGCATGCTGTACAATGCTAAATTAAAATACCTTTATCCTTCATATGAAAGATAAACAGTGTTAAATATTTCTAATACATATATATGTACATAATTTCAGCGCAAAAATAAACATCCAACAGCGGTTTTCACTTTCTTGTTAATATTTAGGAAGGACATATTTTGATTTTTGGTCCATAACCCATCTGTCCAGACCAAAGTTTCGTTTGGTTTTCCTAAGTCCCCTCAGGAAAATTCTTAGATAATGCAGTAAAGTAAACTATGATTGTAGTTACTATAGGATTCTGACGATGGTGTATAACACACTGATATGTTGGGTTTTTGGACTTTATCCATCGTCCTGGTTTTTATTTTTATTTGTTATCTTAAAAACGAGGACGATGGATAAAGTCCAAAAACCCAACATATCAGTAGACTATGATTGTTGATGCTAATTCTGCTCTGTTACCACTGTAAGATCAGTTAATTTGATTTCATTCATTATTGGGTTGTTTTTCATTTTTATTGATAATGCAGAATCAATTGATGGGCTGTTTCTGGATGTTGAATTGTAAGGGTTGTGGATGGAAGCATTTATGGCCTATTTGCAAGGAGTATCCCATAATCTGGTGTAAAAGACTGAAGAAATCCACAAAAATCCTGTCAGTAGCTAAGAATTGAAGTGTGGAACCTCCTAAGTATGAAGCAGGATTCCCAAACATTACAGTGTGACCAGTTCACTTAGACACTTTTCTTCCTCTGTATTTTACTGTGGTAAGGGACATTTAATTCTACTTTTCTTCTTGTGCTCCTTCTCCTCCTCGGTCTCTGCCTTGTTCTTCATATCTTCCTCTATGTCTCCCTTCCCCATTTCTTCCTCCTCCATCTTCTCATTTTCCATTTTCTCTTTCTCCTCCTGTGGCTCCCCTCCATCTCCTTCAGCTCCTTCTGTATGTCCTCTGCCTTCTCCATCTCCTTCACTTCCTCCTCCTCCTCTCTATCTCCTCCTACACCCTCTACCCCTCCTTCAACCTTTCCTCATCCTCCTAGTATAATTTCTGTTTTCTTTGGGTTGGTGGACAGAAGTCTGCAGTCTTGTTTCTCCATCTTCCCTTTTTCTATCTTGGCACTTTTCCCTCTCCATCTGTGTTCCACTGTTTGGACACAAAAAATGGTTAAGTAAATAAAATAAGTATCCAAGAGAGAATATATTGTTTTGTCATTTCCTGCAGGTATCGCAACCATTTGCAGTCAGTAAAAAGGTGAAACCAGTTAAGCTAAACAGGGACACAGTTCAGCCAGGCGTGTTTGCAATTGTCTCAGGGTGGGGCAAAACAAAGGAGAGTGGTAAAGCAGCCAAGGTCCTCCAGAAAGTGCGTGTACCTGTGATTCCACAGAGGGAATGTGAGTGGTTGTACATCCGAGTGAATATAACGTCAAACATGTTCTGTGCAGGATTTTATGGACATGATTCCTGTCAAGGAGATTCAGGGGGTCCCATTGTGTCTGGGGGTCGTCAGATTGGTATTGTATCATGGGGTAATGGCTGTGGGCGTTATAATTTCCCTGGTGTCTACACCAATGTTGAAAAGTTTTGGCATTGGATTCTAGAGGTGAGTGGTGTGTAGAGGTGAGTGGTTTGTAGAGGCGATGTTAGCAATTTGTATGAACTTTGATATGTTATCCAAATTTGTTTGCCATACACACATGTGCATGTACATACATCAGTAAATTAAAGTGAACTCTTACTGTTTTAATTGTTTCACTGATGGGTAATTAGTACCCAGCTACATTCGCCTGTCCTGACATATTTCTTCAATGTTTGAAGAACATGGAAATAAGAGAAATTAATCAGAAATTGAATTAATGTATGCTACGGTAGAACCATGATATTACATTTTCCTAATGACCACCTGAAATAAACATAAAATTGAAGAAAATGTTTTATACATTGTTATTTTGTATTGTTTTGGAATGTCTTTGTTACATAATATTTCTTTTATAATGTAATAAATCTTGGAACTATTTCATATTCTTTTACTACTACCGATACTGCCTTTGTTGCTCGTACCAAGCTATATTCAGTCATGTTTTAGCAGCTCAGTTTCCTGTTTTCTAGGTGGTGCTTGTGAGAATTTTTTCTTCCATTAGATAACCTTTCACCTCTTAAAAGTATGAAAGGTTGAACTTCTTTTTAATGCCAATGATCATACTGTATAAATACCCCAACAGTATGCAGTTTTATGCACTGAATGTTGTGTTTTCTAGATGTGGCCTGTCTGAGTTCTTGCTGCAGATTGTGAAGGTAAGTTGGGCATACATTTAGATAGATTCAATTAACCCACTCTCTAACTAATCTACTGCCAAGTTATATATTGATTAAATGCATTTTCTGTTTTGAGACTTGGTCGTTCTCGACTGAATGTGTGCTGGATTTAATCTAATCCACAAATTGACATAAGGATTGTAGGATGTGGAACATGGATGTCTGTCACTCTTCTCCTCTCCTCCCTCCACCCCTTCCACAATACAGCTGCAACCACTACCCTGCTACTTCTTGCCATAGTTCACTTCTAGTGCAACCCAGAGGCCAGGTAAAACAATACAGTCTCTGCTAGTTTCACATTCATAAACTAATCATTTTTGTTGCAGGACTCTAGAATTTATTGTCAATGTTGCTTTTCAACACTTCTCAGCCGTTCTGTTTTTATGTATTTCTAACAGAGGTACCCATTCATTAAGCATGATATGGCTATCAAGAGTACTGTCTTCTGGGACATAACGCTTTGCAGTCTGTTGAAAGTCAGCCGACTTTTTGGAGGAACGTATCACCTACCAGCATGAAAGCAGGTGGCTAGCAGAGGCCTGTTTGCTCTGTTTGCCACCTGCTTTCATGCCGGTTTCTTCCTTGGCATATTCTTCAACCCTGAAGATGTAGGTGATATGTTCCTCAGAAAATTCTGTTGACTTTCAACAGACTACATGGCATTATGTACCAGAAAATAGTACTCTTCATAATCACCACTGTGAGAATCTCAAATCCTACATAGGATGTGGTTGCTTTCCTTCTCCGTATCGCAGTATATTGCGATGGAATATGACAATCTGGTAGGCATCGCTTCGTTAAGCACCTTTCCATAGTAACGCAGGCAACAATAGAGCCTCAGTTGCATCAGTAAGCATGATTTCATGAGAATAAATGATTTACGTGGATATGCCCAAGCAACAGACCTTTCCATGGATACGAGTTATGCTATATAAGGAGCTGTGTAAACTCTTCCAAGGATGCATTCATCAGACAGACGTCATTCATGGCAGTGAGAGATTCTTTATAGAGCATTTGCAAGACATATTATTAAGGAGTTAAGTGTGTGAGCTGTCATAATTAATGGTAACTATAAAGAAGTGCCAGTAAACCCAATCATCAAATCCTGAACCCATTATTATTCACCATGCACATGACGATATATTAGCTAAAACTTAAAGAAGGAAGAACTTGAATCTATATTTTTTGTTAATAAGAGTATGGAGTAAATTTCTTGTAAGCATATTGTACTGTTTATCATGTTTTGGAACAGCAGGGATTATCTGTCAGTAGTTACAAAATACCTGTATATCAGCTTGTTTGTGTGCACTACTGTTACATTATATGCCACTGCATAGTCACATTATCTGTATAGTAATTACAAAGTGTCAGTGTTTAGAGGAGGTGGAGATTCATATCACACTGTTGCACCAAGAACAAGAGGAGGATGGTGTGGGCTGATACTGAACAAATCAAAGCAAGATTTGATATTCACATGAGAGCAGATACTAAGTTTACTTGTTCAGGAATGTAATGCCATGCAGCAGCCAACTTTTCAGATAAATCTGCTTACTCCATCTTCTTCTACCCTAAAGATGGAAGCAGCAGATACCTCTGAAACATTGGAACCTATTGACTGGAGTACACAGCTTGATGTCACAAAAGATAATCTTAAAATGAAGGCATATTCTGTTCAGTACTGTATACATAGCTGTGTCAGGGACAAAGCAAGTGCTATATAGTCTTGGTAATTGAAATGATATTTATAATAGACTGTGTTTACGTTTAATCAGAAGCCGTATCTTTGTAATGAATGAGTTTATGTAGCTACATATCATGGAAAATAGTCATACTAGTTCAGAGATAACCCTTCACCTCTTGGGTATTTGAGAACGATAACTATTAACGTCGTTTGGGTCCAGCCATTGCAGTGTGCTACAGGATGAGGTTTTCATTTCTTCTAGCTGTGTTAGTTTTGGCTGTCAGCACTGGGGGTAAGTATCACAGCAATTAGGTTACGGGTTGTCTGACCATCAAATGAAGGTTTGATTCCTGGCTGGGATAAGAGATTTTCTCTTATCCATAGCATGTGGAGACCACCCAGCCTACTATCCAGTGGGTATTAGGACCTCTTTCCATAGTGGCAAAGCGTGAAGCTAATCGTCCACCATCATGTAGTGGCGACATTAAGATTATGTGTAACCCTACCTCCACTCCCACATACATGTTAAAGGCGTGGTGCTTAATTAAAGGGGCAGCTCTGCCTTTGCTTACCTAGAATGTTCCTCCATATCATGTAGTTCTGATTTAATTACAAGTGTTGAGATCTAGGCCAGATATAAGTACAGTATCTTCAGAAGTGTGCCCAAGAATGAAGAAAAATGACTGAGAATGACTGTTTTGAGTTCAAGTACAGTAGTTTATTATAAATTGCATTACATTATACAGTATGAATATTAGTGTGCCTTGATTATCATTTTACTCATCAGATTATTGCCCAACCTAGATCAATCTTCCAAACGTTTAATTTACAATAATAATGTTTTTCTTTATATATACCAGCACCACTGCATCTGTGGAGCTAATTGAAGGGCTTTCTTCTTTTAAGATGACAAAAATTATAATGTGTTAAGAGACTTTTGCATTTTTCCATATGAGGAATATGCAACAAAATGCAAGGAAAATAATTTATGAATCAATGTTTTGTTGTTATCATTGCAACAGCACATTTTTTATTTGCAATGTCAGGGTTCTGCTAGTGGAATATCCATTTAAAATGTGAAAGGAAAATACTACAATTCATATTTATAACTATGGTTTCTTAGTTAACCCATTCAGCTTACACATTGGAGCCCTTGAAGGACACAGAAACCATAATTTTACTGGATTTGCAATCTGTGATATATGATGAAGTATGGCAATAGTAATAGTCCAGAAGTACTTTCTTTCAGTAAATGGCAGCACTGTAAAAATCAACCGCAGCACCTCCATCTTTTGGTCCTATCATAACTAACTGCAATTATTTTGGTTTCTGTGGGAATGACATAACATCAAACTGAGAAACATTATGATCATACCAACTTATACACCTGATGATGGCCAATTAGGCCGAAATATGCAGTGGTATGCAATAAAGAGATGAAGATGAGTGAATATTAACCAAAGTTGTGCACAGATGACAAGAAGCAGAACATGTCAGAGTATGACAAATCCTGATAAGCTTAAAGTAGTTACATATGCGTGTGCAATAAATGAACATCAAGCCCAACAAATTGTGCAAAATCACAAAGACTGCATTTGTAAAATGTGGAGTAGCCTAAATCTTAGGTATCTTTTTAAAGTTTAGGAGTTAGGTATAGTCATAAGAGTGTTCCATTTTATTGACAGTGGGTTTAAAAAATGGAAATAAAATAAAATTATCATTACCTTTTTGATGTAAATATTTTAAATAAACACTTTTATGTTTCAGCATTCAAATTTTATAATCGCCCATCACATCTATCAAACCGACCTATTGTTGGTGGTGTTGATGCTGAGATCAGCAACTTTCCCTATCAGGTATGCTATGTAGTGCAGAAATCAACAAGAACCACATGTGAGGTCATAATGAACAGAAATTAAGATCTTATTCTGTTACATTAAAGCAAAACAAACTCCATGGTTTTAGTCTGCAAGAGAACTATACCAACCAAGCGACCGCCGTTTGTCGGCAAAGTTAGTGCCAACTTTAGCATATAGAGGGTGTCGCGTGGTCAGCACAACAGATCCCCACGGCCGTTAATTTCGGTTTTCTAGACTGGACCCGCTATTTCCTTGAAATAGCTCCTCAGTTATCCTCACAAGGCTGACTGGACCTCAATCAAGACCTACTACTTCTCAGAAAATTTGGTAGCTCTGGGAATCGAACCTGGATCTGTGGCCAGGAACTCTGACCACTCGACCACAGAGGCAGTTTTTGCTCTGTTACATATAAGGAAAGTCTTTACAATTATTGACTTTTTGAACATTATCGATTTCCTGGTTACTATTAAAAAATGTTTTGAAGACTGGACTCTGTCTTCGTCCTCTTGTAAACGCCTACCCAATTAGACGCAATCAGTAGATATGGTCCCTATCTTTGTTAAGGAACTGTGGATTCACTCTTACTGGTGAATGCTTAACATGGAAAGTAAGCAAGCACTGAGCAGCATGTATCTGCTGATTTGATAATCCATTATGACCTTGATATGTGACCCAAATACTATAATATGTCTATATCGTCTTTCAGGGTACATCACTATCAGATATTGACATAGGTCATTAGATCGTCATTACCAAGTTAGTAGACTACAATTTATACATGAATTTGCAAGCAAAATTGCCCTACTGGAGGTTTTGTTGAACAGACAACATTTCTTCTATAATATTGCGTATTTAAGGTATGATGTTACCTCAAAGACATTTTAGACAGAGAATGTAATGGTGACTTACTTGATGTGATGTAGTTCATAATAATTGTACAGTTCTTTGCATTAGTTTTTTAATTTAAATTCAATAAGGATCTCATGAGTGGTTTAGAAAGATGAATTATCAGCAGTTCCATTGGATTATGTGCATTGCAGCCTGACTGACCTTTAAGGTCAAAACGTGTAGCTAAATGTGACAAGCTATTATATATAATTCAGGGAGACAGTAAATATGAATATATATATATATAAATATATATATGTCCTTGTCCAAAGTTCTCCTTATACAAGTAGCTATAAACTACCATTCAGGAATAGTTACTTCCTTGTCTTTGTATTGTAACTTGCATTCACAGAATATGCAATAATGTTTATGCACTTTTGTGTACATAAATTCAAGGGTTGTTTGAAAAGTTATGGAAATTAGGCCTTTGGTATCCAAAAATGTAACATGCCACTTGTGAGTGATTAAATATTTCAACACTGTGCGTCATACATGTCTCATTTAACCAGTTAACTGCCTTATTTTCTGTTCTTCAGCTAGCTTACCTTGCTCAATAAGAAAGATTTTTGAACCTACAAAATGTAATACATGGATTAACTCAGTGGTTTCTGTGACTGCACAGTCATTCCCTTTTTTGAGCAGTTAACGAGAACCTGAACTTTCAATTCTCTTTTTTTTCTTTCAGGTTTCACTGTCATACAGCTTTAATAATTCGGTAAGGTATCTTCCAAATATATTATTCTTCTTCTAACTTGTTTTTGTTTTGTATGATTTAGCGAGTAAATTTTTCAAGTTTCTTCTTTATTCCCACAGTGTCTTTATTTCCAGTACTTCCCTCAATTGTTGGTGTCTTCCAGGGTCTGGACAAACCAACTTATTCTGGACCATATCATAGGTCTCCTTTAAATTGTAATTCCTATGCCTTTCTCGGTATTTATTCCATCCATCCATTCTTTTTTCATGGCCAAACCATTGTAATAACCCTATTAACAAAGTCTGATTGCCAGCATATCTAAATATTTCAATTCTATCTCCTCCTGCTTTGCTGTCAGTGCATCTAAATATGTATTACATCATTGCTTGTATTTTTCTGTTGTGGAAATTTAATAGGGTAACAACCTGTCAGCAAGAGTTAAAAGTCCAACCAGTAACACAAGATTGGCATTAAAAGAATTGCTTCCATTTCACACCTCCTGTTTTGTTGATAAATGTGTTACATAGTTACATAGTTAATAGCAGCTTGTTAATTATACATGGAATTTTAATACTTGTGGAATAATAATTAGAAATTTATTGTTTATATAAAATTAGGTGTATCATATATATCCTGTGCTCGTCTTACTATGACTTGCTTTATTGTGTATAATTGTACATTGACTTGTTCCGCTTCCTAATTAAGTAGGATACATGGAATGCATATAATATATCAATCTATAGGGTGATTTAATTGGAGGAGGTTCTGAATTATTACCACAAATCATGCAATAATTTACCAATGAAAACTAAACTTGGTAAGTACATACCTTATTGGATGTGAAGATAACAGTTGCAGAAGATATTAAAATTAGTTTTTTCCCATATACGTGACTGTTGCGGCCAGCACAACAGGAGGGATCACAGATTGAAGCAAATGGCGCGAACGTGGCTGCCAGGAACCAGGCCAAGTACACAGTGTTGCCAAATTTCGATTCTATCAGTAAATTATTTCAGTGGATTTTTATCAGACGCTCATTTAACTTATGAGAATTCATCCATATGTGCTTGAAAACATAAATAATTGATATAAATACAAATTTAAATAGCATGGGTAGTTCCATGCAGTGGGCCATTCAGTGAGCATAAGCCCAGAGGGAGCTTAAATCCTGACTCTGCCTCACTTCCAGTTTATATGTAGCTATGAGCATTTTGCGCACAACTTGGTCCCAAAACACAAGTCAGCTTCATCATCATGGTGCTCAACCAAGGAAGCAGAGATCTCTTCTAACGCTACAGGAAAAAATCTGCTGTGCTCGGTTTGTTGAGAAACGGTATTTCTGTCTGAAACATGGCTCCAAAATATGGCTGAAATATTACATGATATATAAAATGCATGTATTTCGTGAGCTGTTTAGGGGATTTTCAAGAGATATTCTGGTTACGTGTGATTTTGGATTTATGTGTCATCTGTAGAGCGTAACCTTCATACAAGGCGTTACTCCACACTATGCGATTTATAATTAATAATCTGTGGCCTCCTAGTGGATCATCCTGTATAATATATATATATATCCGTGTGTGTGTGTGCGCGCGCGCGCGCGTGCATGGAAGAGTGCCAAGAACACAGCATTGCTGGTACTAACAGCCACAACTTTAATGCTGCTACATGTTTTCAGGGCGAAATTTATGCTAGACACTTCTGTGGAGGTTCCATCATTAGCGTGGACTGGGTCCTGACAGCTGCTCACTGTGTCCAAGGGTAAGATTTAATGTCTTAATTGGACGTCACTAAGGCTTTTTGACCAAATGCCAGAGTGAAATGGTTAGTATTTGTTCCACATTATCAGGATGTTCCTGGTTCAAAGCTCAGGCAGTAGACCAGCTATAGTGACTAAGCACTAAGCACAATGGTTTCTGTATGTACCACCTGCTTCGTTTTATATAACAAAATCTGTGTTTTGTTGACACTGTATTTGTAAGTTTTGTGTGGTTCTCAGAATAAACAAACTTGATTTATGTGTGCAGCATTAATCAGTTGATTTTTTTTAGCAGGGATACGTTGTGTCTTCGGGAGATATGAACTTATTTCTGAAATATTATTTTAAGGAACGCTGAGTTGGTACCCAAATTTCATGTTCCACTGCATGGTACACATAAGCCTTCCCAATAGTAACATAACATTTTCACTCTCATGTAGCCCTTCCAATGTTGCTATCAGAAATTAATTCCGATCATGTGCAGTAAAGTCGTGGCTCAACTTCTTTCCTCTGCCTTTATCAAGGTCCACATCCTAACAATTTACCCGTTCACTTTGTAAAGATTTACCCTTTCCCAAATTTACCTCTACCATGAGTGGAGCAGGCACTACCTGGGAACCTTCGAAACCAGGGAAGAAGGGGATGTGTTTCTCACTCCCCCCCCCCCTCCACTATGTTCTCTCCCACCTTTCACTCAGTCTTCAAATAGTCGAAGGTTTCCCTTAGAATTCCCAGGAAAAGTAGAGAATAATTCTTTAAAATAAACACAGACTGAAGGTGTTCAGGAACGGTGTTCAGGAGGATATTTGGACCGAAGAGAGATGAAGTGACAGGAGGTTGGAGAAAACTGCGTAATGAGGAGCTTAATAACTTGTACTCTTCTCCAAGTATAATTAGAACGATCAAGTCAAGGAGGATGAGGTTGGCAGGGCATGTAGCACGAATGGGGAGAAGAGGAATACATATAAGATATTGGTGGGAAAGCCAGAAGGAAAGAGACCACTGGGACATCCAAGGTGTACGTGGGTGGACAACATTAAAATGGATCTTAGAGATATAGGATTGGATGGGATGGATTGGATTGATCTGGCTCAGGATAGGGACCAGTGGAGTGTTCTTGTGAACACAGTAATGAACCTTCTGGTTCCATAAACTGCTAGGAAGTACTTGAGCAGCTGCACAATTGGTGGCTTCTCAAGAAGGGCTTAGCTCCATGAGTGAGTGAGTGAGTTGCTTACAATAGGTTGCACCCAGTTTCTTGCATCAACCACTGAGAGTGTTGATCTCAGATATAAACAGTCTCTTGTGTTAGTAGTGAATTTAATGATGCATCATACATAAATTGAGAAGGTGGATTATATGTGTGTTATAGAACATACCCAGAAGACATATTTGTGCGTGTTGGGACAAGTACTGTAAATGAAGGCGGGTTTCTCCATGAAGTCACGAAAGTAATTTCACACGCAGAATATGGCAGAGGTATTGACACAGATTATGACATTGCTTTGCTGAAGGTAAGAATTGTAATTATCCCACTCTTATACTACTCAATATTATTATAATATAATATAATTATACCTATGTAAGTTTAATCTGAGTAATTCAGAAGAAAATTTTCAAATTTATTACAAAATTTCTGTATTGGTATATTATGGGATAGCACAGTTGGTATAGCGACTGGCTATGAGCTGGACAACCGAGGGGTTGGAGTTCGAGTCCCGGTAGGATCAAGAATTTTAACTTCTCCAGTGGTCCAGACTGGCTCGGGGGTCCACCCAACCTCCAATGCAATGGGTACCGGGGGGTTCATATCTGGGGTTAAAGCGGCCGGGGTGTGAAGCTGACCACTCACCTCCAACTAGTGCCGAGGTCAAGAAAATGTGGATCTATATATCCACTCCCCCATACGCCTTCATGGTGTAGTGCTTAATGAGTTAAGCACAGGGACAACTTTACCTTACGTTTATTGTCATATTCCAGCTTTCGCCCAATAAACAAACTTTTGATTTTCATCCAATAGCTTCTCACAGACACTGAAATTATCCCGCTCAACCTGAGCAGATTGCTGTCACACAGTTTTAAAATTATGCCAAGAGGTATTATTTTTTTATTTTTTCTCATGGGGTAAGACTGAGTCCACTTGGTACTACAGCCACTGTTTGGTCTGTTGTACCAGCTCCTGATGATAGATGATGATGATTGTGGAGCAATCAGTGGAATGCGAATTAGTAGGGGAAACCGAAGTACTCGGAGGAAACCTGCCCAGTTCCACTTCGTCCACCACAAATCACACATCACCTGACCTGGGCTTGAACTCGGACCGCCTCAGTGGGAAGCCAGGGAGTATCTGCCCGAGCAATGGCATGGCCATGTCAAGAGGTAACAAGCAGAAATCTGGAAAGAATTTGTGGTGCCCAGTAGATGCTTGAATTGCTGTATTATAAACTGAAACATACTATCACTGGCCTTTTCTAGATGTCACGGTTACCATTTAATATTTCATATATGCATTTCAGTAAGAAATGATCTGATAGAACATGCAAATTTAATCAGTAAATGATCACTTCTACTGAATATGCTTTTGCCCTTCAGCCTTTGTCAGGAATTTCCACCAAATTTTTCAAAATTAAACCACAGCTTTACCACTTCATGTCTAAAACACTAAAATTCAGTTAATTATGGCCTGAGCGCAGCTATCAGGGCAGTTGACATATTCTCCTCTTTCCATCATGCAGTTGCTGGTAGCCTTTCAGCTCACTGGACCAGTGATTGAGACTAGCTCTTTCTAACGGGCCCAACTGAGTAGGTCTATCTTGCCCCATCCACCTGATGACGGAGACAGATCCAGTCTCCAAAACGCTGTGGTTTCTTGTCTTATACATACCAGACGATGGATAAAGTCCAAAATAAACCTTATACATAGTTCTATATGGCTTCATTGTTTAAAAATTAACTGATGTAACACCCATTGAGAATTCAGTGATAAGTGTCATTGTATGTTATATAAACTTTCACATCATTAACTTCTCTTGCTTTGTTTTATATTCCTTTCCAGTCCTGCATACTTGTATTGTTGAATGATGTGTCGAGGCCAACCTTTAGTGCTATTTCCCACCAATAACACTCACAAAGAGATGATCTTCAACTGTACACTATCCACATTAAAATATCAGTACTTACAAAATAGACGTGATACACTGAAACAAAGATTGCTCACTCATTTTTGACTTGATACATAACTTATATTCATGCAACATGTTAATATTTGACATTTCATTGCTGTGGTAACCCAAAACTGCAGAATAACAATTATAAACTTACAGAATGTTTTTATATATGTACAAGGACAGATTAAAAGATAACGAACTGTAAGAGTGTTAACTCTGTTTAAAATTTGGTGTAAACCCCTGAGGATGTCTGAGTAGCCAAAATATATAGGATGGAATCAATAATTTATTAAATTTGCCTGTTGCATCCGTGATGTGTATGTATTGACTGTCCTCAGTTGTGTTATTTACGTTAAACTATTGCACTGTTCGCCATCATTTGTCGTTTATAAAATGATTTAAAATGTATATTCGTCGTGTACTATAATAAAATTTGTTAAGATTTATCATCTTATACGTCGTGTTTCAAAGTCGCATATTATATCATTCTTCCGCTATGGGAGTCGTTCTTCCTATATTTTGTGTATACTGTGTCTTGTGATGTGTCCTTCTTTTGTGGTTGCGTGCCTTGTCATTCTTACTGAATCACTGCGTTGTTTACCATTCTTCTTAGTTTGTCATCTTTTGTATAAAAGGTAGTTTGATATATGAAGAGTACAGTCCTCTGGGTTGTAACACTGTGTAATTCACAGAGAAGTTACTGTGAAATAAATCTAGAAAGATATGTTCCCAGCCTAATCAGAGCCATGAATGTGTGATTGCATAGGTTGCCAAACCATTTGAAATTGGTCCAGACGTGAAACCCATCCCGTTGAACAAGAACCCGTTGCGACCTGGTGAAATATTGGTGCTGTCAGGATGGGGTTTGACATCTGAGGGTGGTGATATTGCAGGTACTCTGCAGAAGGTGGAAGTGCCAGTAGTTCCACAGTGGGAATGCAAATGGTTGTATGGACATGAGAAGTTATCAGTCAACATGTTCTGTGCTGGTCGCGCAGGAAGGGATACATGTCAGGGTGACTCTGGGGGACCTGCCGTGGCTAATGGCATTCTTGTTGGAATTGTATCATGGGGTGAAGGCTGTGGTCGTCCAGGGTACCCTGGCGTCTATGCCAGTGTTGAAAAGCTACGTAAATGGATTTTTTACAATAGTGGTGTATAGTTTTTATGTTGATCGAAAGCCCTAGTATATTTGCTCAGAATTTGATGTAGCTGTTTCACTTTGTTTAATTCATGTATAAATTTTTCTTGTCCTGTCATAAAAATGTATATCTTACTGTGTGACGAGACAAATGCCTGGTTAGAGAGCTGAAGCTTCTGACTTAAAGAGCGATGATGTAATAATGTTCTGCCTGGTCATGGCTCTTACAGACCTCACAGGTTAGTGTTAGGTAAGTATGAAGCAACAATGGAATGATTATTAATGTGGGGGAAACTAAAGAAACTCAGAATAGAAGCTGCTTCAGTGCCATTTCAACCACTGCAGATCCCACATGAAGTTACCGTGGGATCCATTCCAAGTCCCCATGCTGACATGTTACAACAGTTCCTGTATCCCCAGGCAGCTGATATGCAGCCTAACATAATCTTCCAACAAGATGGAGCCCTCAAATTTGGGTCTGGATGTTCGGAGGTCCCTCAGTGCTGCCTTCCAAGATCACTGGATTGGATGTGGCAGGCCAATTCGCTGGCCACCACGTTCAGTGGACCTCACTACGCTCAATTTCTTCCTCTGGGGTTACATGAAGGACCATGTGTTCGTGCCTCCAGTGAATGACCTCCCAGATTTACGAGCCCGCATCCGTGAAACGATTGCTGCTGTACCAATGGACATGTTGGAAAGAATGTGGCAATAAACTGAATACAGATTGGATATTGTTCGTGCTACCAATGGTGCACATGTAGAGGTTTATTAGTGTGTCAATTTTTTTTAGTTCTTGTATTTCCTGTATCTTCATTCTCCTACCATTCACACTTTCTGTTCTAAGATTTGATAAAATGTGGGAGGTTTGAATGGAACACCTATATATCAGGCTATGTCAAGAGTGAATTGGAAGAGTTAAGTAATCTGTAGAAATTCCTGATTATAAATCCATTTCTTCTGCCTTGAGACCAACCAGAACCTCACTCTTCTCCCATAGCTTCTTGGCTAGACCCACGTCCAGTGCATCCTTTGCCACTGTTGCTTCCTGTGGCAAAAATTTTCTTTAGCTGGCATCCTATTCAAATATCCACATAAAGACACAGACCATAAGACTTACATATTTATTACATAAAGACCAGTAACAAATAGATTCACTGCATCACAATGATGTTGGACATCGTGGGTGCTGCCAGGAAAATTTGTGTGTGGGTAAGGGGGGGGGGGTGAGCTAGAAAACTTGCTTACAGATGTTATGTTTAAGCTGTTGAATACTATTTTTATTGATCGCCCTAGATTATTAGTGATAGAAGAATAATTTTTATTGTTAATATTTGCTATAGTTTGCTCTTTTCTATAACATGATTTTTTTTTTCAAAAGTCTGAGGAGGAGGAAGGGGGGGGGGGTCAGATGCCTGGATACACATTGATTGTGATGTCAGGACCCTTGAATATTAGCATCAGTGGTCCACTGATGAAGACAACTTGTTGGTCCTGTTTGGGCAGATTGTGCAACTTGAAAGCTATTGTTTTACTACCATTCTTTCTATAGCTCATGGTCAACAGCTTGTGTGTCATGTACAGTCACATGATAACTTGTGACTGACCATGTTTACTAGCAGCATTGGTAATGGGGTCCATTTGAAGAGCCCTCATATAAAGTCTAATGCTTTGAAGAAGAATTAGGTCTCATATTTTCAGAGTTTTGTGATATAGAATATATGATATATTATTTTATAAAATTTAGAATAAGTATGTGACATATTTCCTGTGCTTATAGGGGTGATGTACTGTATTAAAATGGAGAAACAAGTAGTTATACCTTGCAATCAGAAAAATATTTGCCAGACACGCCTTCAACATCCTCTGAAACTGCCAAGTAGATTGAGGTCTGTGCACCTTGCTCGGGATTCTGAAATTAAATTAATTTTTGAAGAGAAACGAAATATAAGGCCTTCTCTGGAGACACTTCCTGCAGCAGCAGTCCTCGAACAGAAACTTGCTATAAGGTAAAAGGTAAAGCTATCCCTGTAACAAGCTGTGGAGGTCCATAGGGTTGTGAGACGTCGAAGCTTTTGCATTGCCTAGACAGTCAGCTCACAGATGGTGGTGAGGTTGTAAGCCTTATGTCAACCAGCCTTTACCCTCAGGGAATTTTGCTCTCATAGCATTAATTATAAATTTTAAGAAAAAATGTTTGCCTTCATCACATACAGTTTGAAATAAAATTTTGATATGAATACGTTGCTTGATTATTAGTTTTTCACTAATTAAGTAACACCATGGATGAAAGTTTTTCTTGAGAAGTTAGTAGTTGCTCAGGTATTCAAGACATTGCCTGTTTGTTAATAGAACCCAGAGGTATAAGAAGCAGTGGTGAAGGAGGAGAAAGAAAAGAAGGAAGATTAATAAAAGCAGAGGAGGGGAGGAGAAGATGAAAGGAAAAAAGAATAAGACAGCGATGAATAGAAAGATAAAACTTCTTTACCCCTTGGGTTTCAAAGAATTATGAAAATTTCAGAAACATTGAGCATGCCAAATCTAAAGTTTAAGTACATACACTGCTACTGTCACGTACCTTAAAGATAAGACTTATCATGAACTTAGCTATGTAGTAAATGAATCGTGGCATCCGTCGCATAATATCTGTGCCCACAACACCGGGATGCAAACTGTTCACTGTTACACCTGTGAACCAAGATATTTGTTACACAGAGTGGCCTACAGGCAGTATAAAATTGATATATATACCCAGTTATTTACTAGATCAAAAATATATTTTGGATAGAAATTGTACATTAGTAATGAAATATCTTTTGAAAATTTAAGTGAAGAATTGGACAGTTCTCATTTATAGCTAGGGTTTCTGCAAGTAACCCTTCCTGTGAGCCAGTATTATAAATTACAAGGTTTCATTGCATATGGACACTTATTTTTCTTTGGTAAAGGATGAGACAGCAAAGTTATCTCTCCAAGCCAGACAGAGCTGGGAATTATTCATTTTGAAGTTTCTACTCATTTGTTGCATTCAAGATCAATCAGAATATATGTGACATATTAATACATCCTAATACAAGGAAAGATTACAAATTGCACTTGGGTGGAAAAATGGATTGTATCATGGTATTGTGGAAATAATAACTGTTAGTAAAACTTTTTTGTGACTCAGTGTTTATTTTATACAGAGTGTCCCAGGAGGAATGTGCCAGACTTCGGGAGGGTGTTCCTTATGTTAAAGTATGCTGATAAAACCCAAAACACCTATGTCCAAAGTTGAACGGTTACGGAGATAATGGCCAGAGAAAAGTGTGGTCTTCTGGCGGGTCCACGCACTGTACCTGTCAGCTGGCTACTCTTATCTGTGTTTGTCCTTGAGTGTGGTGATGGCAGCTCATGTTAGCCCCATTCACTCGCATACCAGAATGCGCAGTCAGCAATGTTACGTCAGTGCTTGCCATTCATGTGTCATGTATAGTGCTTGGAACTCTTAACGACAACTTTGACATGGCATGTGAGTTTTTTATAGCTCAATTTAGTGGCTTCATGTCACTCACAAGTTAGTTTGATGTTACGTACATTATTAACATTATGGAAACCACATATTCCTGCCAGTTTTAATATGTATTTGGTAATCAACATGTGTGTAACACCTGTCAAAGTTTCACACTTCTCTGGCCATTATCTCCGTAACCGTTCAACTTTGGACATAGGTGTTTTGGGTTTTATCAGCATACTTTAACATAAGGAACACCCTCCCGAAGTCTGGCACATTCCTCCTGGGACACCTGTATGTGGGGGTCACAGCATTCTATTTGCTGACTGTAATAGTAGACAAAGCTGTGAGTGAAAGAAACATATCGCATGTTAGGGAGTACGCATGACGAAATGACAGGTTCTAGTTTGGATGATTGGCTTTATTAGCACTTGGTCACACACACACACACTCTTAGTCACATTTTAGATCCTTACATGCAATACAGCGTTATCGCTGAATTACACACATTCGAATTCATGGTTGCACATGCACTAGGATTCTCTGTCTACTACTAGCCATCTCCTAGCAACGGATCTCCACACAGACACTCACTTCAAATCACTACATATATTACACGTGAAATATTCCAGTCACACTTTACATCTTCATATGGCGACCTCCTGTATTCTTCTGTATTCCTGGTTCCACATCGCTTGCTTCCGACCCTAGTTCCACTACTACTTCTACTATTGCGTAACTTAGCAACTGACTGTTTTCAAGAGACTGTCTTCGTGGTAACTCGCTCCACATCCCGTTGCCCAATAACGGGTTGACATGTCACACTGCTCCCTCCTTAAGGCTGTTTGTCCCGAATAGCCTAACAGTGCATCATTGGTCCTTTTCTTCTGAAAGCTGTGCTTGCAACGTCTTTTTCTCTGGCTTGGTGTTTCTTTCCTTTGTATTGTCCGTTTTCAAACCGCTACATCCGCTCCCTCCTTAAGGTCAGCTCATCCCGAGTGGTTCACTGCTAAGGTACCAGAAGATCCAGATGTATCGCCATCATCCAGAGTTCTTCCTTTCTCTCCCTCTATGACTCTTTATCTCTCACCAGTGGGGGGAGGGGCCAGCGCTTCCCCATGTTTGGCTCTTCTTACATTAATGCTGCTTTTTTCGCTTCAAAGGGGGTTGACTCTTCCACAAGGCCCATTTCCTAATTTTCCATAACCCACTAATGTTTGTTTAATGTTAATGTTTACTAATGTTTTGAGTAAACTCGGTGCATGAAGGGTTAGCAAGAAAAGATTAAATTTTTTAAATGTTTGTAAACATTTAGTTTGGAATCTGCTACCTAAAAACATAAATATTAAAATATTCAGGAGTATACTATGGCTCTTGTTTTGTATGTTTATGAAACATTGTATCTCACATTAAGGGAAGAACATAGACTGAGTTTGCTATAGGAATGGGTGGGACATATAGCATGCATAAAAGTGAATAAATATTTGTATAAAATTTCGGTAGCAAAGCCCAAAGGAAAGAGACAACTTGAAAGAGTCAGGTATAGATTGGAAGGTAATATTAAAATGGGTCTTCAAGAAAGAGAATGGTAGGGCGTAGAGTGGGCTCTTTTGGCTTAGAGTATGGACCAGTGTTGCGTTATTGCAAACATGGTAATGAACATTTGGGCTGTATGGAATGAAAGGAATTCCTTGACAATTTGTTAGCCTTTCCATGACTCTCTTACATTTGTTAATTAGTTACAATTTTATAAAATGGAGGCTGAAGAGTCCAGCAGTCAAGCCTCAAAGTTTGATAGCTGTGCATTGTACCTGTTCCGCTTAATTTCCTGGACAATTCATTTGCTACCAGAATGTTGGCCAGTTTACTGCAGTTGTACACTTGTATATCATTAAACCATTTTTCCGAGTTGAGGTTATCCAAGTCAAATTTTGCGTATTTATGCACTAGAGACGAAACCATCACAATTCGACTAGGAGCTGACTTCTTCAACAGTCCTGAAACGTGGATCATAATGTACTGAAACTTTTCCTTTTGATCTCATATCCAGAAAGCAATTTAGCTGTTACTGCTAGCCTTACCTACTAGAAGGCATGTGAGCAAGAACGGGCTGAAGTGATTCACTTGCATACCAATTTGTAGACCATCAGCTGTTCGCTTCTCTCCTAGACCTCCTGCTCCTGCATTGTTGACAAGAATCTCCAGATGTGTCTCTGTGCTGATAATGTCTTTAGCAAACTTACGGACTGAAGCCAGAGAACTTAAGTCCAAGTGACGTACCTCCACTTTGGAGTTATTGCTTCTTGCAATAATCTCATCTGTTTTAACAAGGAAAGAAAATTACAGGGAATTACCCTATATTGCAAGCGCTCAATTATCATGAAATACAACGCGTGGAAATGGCTCTTAAAAACTAGGTACATGCACCAGATATGTATAAAGTGACCGTGGGATTGGCCAACACATGTTACAAAGGAATGAATTATAGTGCAGGTTCGGGAATTCATTCATACAAATATTGCTGTTGAGAATTGTAGTTACATCTACCAGAGTCTAAACCCATTAACAACTATGAACAGTATACAGGGAGGTCGTTTGAAGTCCTTCCGAAAATGCTTCGGCCTGTCGGGCAAGACGGACACAGGTTACTCGTTTGATCTCTCAATGCTCGCGTTGGGACGTGTGGCAAGATTGAAGGGCCAACAGCCGAAACTTATTATAAATAAAAGTTACCCAGATCACAGCAGGTGCAGGAAATATCCTCAATTGATTTGAATGCATTCCTACCACATCTACAAAATGTTATCTCACATGGTTTGAATTCTCGAAGTTCTGTGGTAGTTCTTGCTGACATTTAAGAAACTCCCGACGCATGTGCAAACGGCATCAGGGATTTTCTAAGAGAATGTTCAAGCTTAACACCGATTTCATCCAGTTCTTTTCAGTGAGCTTTCGAAATTTGGTTTGGGTTCTTATTCTTGTAGCAGGCCGTGGAGACCCATAGGGTTGTGAGACGTCGAGGCTCCCACATTATCTAGACGATCGGCCCACAGATGGCGGTGAAGTTGTCAGCTTTACGTGCCGGCCGCCCTTTACCCTCGGGAAAATTCCTGGTACTCATTTCTGTTAGAGGCTGAGCCGACCCCAGGGATATAGTGCGGCTGGAAGGATTAGCTGAATGAAAAATCCAGTGACCTCATCGGGAATCGATCGCGCGACCTTCCGGCTTGTAGTATAGTGCCTCAACCAACTACGCTACCGCGTGCCCCGCAAAGTGTTTAGTATCTTCTAAGATTGTGATCTTCCAGGTTATTACACCGAGTATTTTCATACTTGGTTATCAATAAGGAAGAAGATGAGCGCGGGTTCTTCCAGAACGTCGATAACTATGTGCGAAACAGCACGGAGTCACAATCCGAAAGACCACAATCTGAATGTGATGAATACCTACCACAAGCTATTTTCCCATTCTTCAGATCTCTACAAGCCAGAATAACTTTGGCTCCTCTGCGGGCCAGATCGAGGGCTGTTTCCTTTCCGATACCTGAAAAAAAAATTATAGGCATTATCATGGTCATAGGCGCCGGAAAGGGGACGGACAAGCCAGGCATTTACCCTTCCCCCCAGTTGTTTTTTAACGGAATGTTTTTAAAATATGCTCCTACCCTTAATACTTTACAGCGATCAGCAAATGTAGTCATAAACGGTTTAATCCTTAAGCTGAGATGTGTTTAAACGCAGATTTGTAAACGACTTTTTTGCCTGCTCCTGCCTGGACAAAAAAGACATCTGTGAATATGGTGCACATAGGGGTTACTAACAAATGTCCATAGACATCTTAGAATCAAGATTTATTATCTTCTTAACTCCAACTGTTTTCAGTACATTAAGGCCAAGGAAAGAAGTCTCTGGGAATGATCCCTTACATATTTCCTTCGAGCCCTAAGGCTCCCCCCACCAACTCACTTCCCTATAACCCTTTCCCCGCCTAAAGTCATCAAACGGTCATGACAATCATATTAAGCGTGCTTGATACAGTGCGGTAGGGGAGGAGAATACAAGAGCAGGCGGAGAGGGAGAAGTCTCGAGCGTCCTCATCCCCACCACCCATAGGACTTCTTTCCGCGGTTTGACATACATCAGTAATCTGTTACCGAAATTTTCTTATCTTGTATGGTGATATCTCTTATATATAATCAATGGTATTTTGTTTGTTACTATATTTATTTGGTGATACATCATCAGGTATTAATTGGATTTAATATAAGATATTCAATGTAGGATTTCATGCGACTCTACATATCACAGGAGTGTGTATGAGGTGTAGTGGTAATGCTCAGTACATTCTTGGCTATATCACCATACAGAGCAGGCGGGAGCCTTAATGTTAGTCCAGCGGCGAGAAATTCCACTCTTCTATAAAAATAACTTTCTTAAAATTGATCAGAATAACGTGAAACTTCCAAATACTGTGATTGCTGTTGTTACTAGTAAAAGACACTTCTTTATATTTTGGGGGTAAATTCTTTAAATTATTGGCAGTAAATGCTCACGATATAAACAGAATATCAGTAATATCAAGAGAAATAAATTTTCATTAAAAAAGAAATTTGTTTGTAGACGCTTATAAAAATTTTATTCAAATTTGCCAGTAACTTGTTTAGATTATTGCCAGTTATTGGTCACGATGTAAGCAAAATGTCAGCAAAAATTAATTTCCATTTAATGAAAAGAAGAAACGTTTTTGTAAAATGTGCTTTCCTAGGCGACAGTTTGGTTTGCCTGTGTTGTCGCGTCAACCCTTAATAACTTCAGAACACCACAATCGCTGTCTCTTCCTCAAATATAATTATTGCTACGCCGTTTATTAACCCTCCATTCCCTATCTCATCTGGTGCTGTGCAATTTCAAAGTCATAACCTAAAAATAAATTAAAAACTCACCTGTGTTCGCTCCAGTAACAATGGCTGTCTTCCCATTCAGTTGTTTTTGGCTTCGGCATATCCCAGCGGTCATCGTGTTGTACAGCTTCACTGCTTCATATCAGAATATACAGAATAAATAAAGCTGTTCTAATTGTTTGTCTGAAATATCTTGGAGGATACGCCACACCTAAGGTAGGAAATCGTATGGAAGAATATTTCTGTTGTCCAACGAGATCAGTGGTTTGGCGGTTTAAGTTCCCTTTTAATGCTGAGAATATAATCTAGTAACTGTGAAGAAAGCAGTCTTCTGGGATTTGGCACCGTGTATATGTGGTGTTAACCGACGTTTTGGAGGAACGTATCGCCTCCATCCTCAGGGTAGAAGAAAAAATATAAGAAATCTGAACATGGAGGCGATACGTTCCTCNCCACTTCGATGCATGAATTCATTAGTAGAATTCAAGATACAAGAGGAGATAAATCTGCATGTAGATTGTCAGAATAGTGAGGTTAGGTTGTTCAAGAAGTAAACACAGAGAGAACTAAGCATATGTTGCTGTCTCGTCACCAAAATGCAGGGCAAAATCAAGACATAAAGACAGGTAACAGATATTTGAAAACGTGACACTGTTCAGATATTTGGGAACGGCTATAACAAATCAAAATCCGGTTCAGATGGAAATTAGAGGAGATTGAATTCATGTAATGCTTGCTACCATTCAGTCCAGAAGCTTTTGTCTTCTCGTCTGCTGTCCAAAAAAAAAATTAGAATATACAAAACTATAATTTTGCCTGTCGTTCTGTATGGCTGTGAAACTTGGTCTCTGACATTAAGGGAGGAACATAGACTGAGGGTGTTCGGGAGAATATTTGGACCGAAGAGATATAAAGTGACCGGAGATTGGAGATAACTGCATAATGAGGAGCTTCATAACTTGTAGTCTTCTCCCAGTATAATTAGAAGGATCAAGTCAAGGAGGATGAGATGGGCGAGGAATGTAGAAAGAATGGGGGAGAAGAGAAATGCATACAAGATATCCGTGGGAAAGCCAGAACGAAAGAATCCACTGGGAAGACCAAGACGCAGGTGGGTGAACGATATTAAAGTGGATCTTAGAGCGATAGGATGGGATGGTATGGATTGGATTGATCTGGCTCAGGATAGGGACCAGTGGATGGCTCTTGTGAACACGTTAATGAACATTCGGGTTCCATAAAATGCTGGAAAATTCTTGAGTAGCTGCAGAATTGGCAGCTCATCCAGAAGGGCTCAGTTCCATGAGTAAGTAAGTAACTAAGACGCATTGTGTGATGTAAGAAACGTATAAATAAGTTCTAGAGGACGCGTTGCATGTAAGACTGAATCATTGGCATTTGTTGAACACTATTTTCTAGTACCCGTAGCAGGCGAGCTATACATAATAGTGGGGTAGATGATAATGCAATTTTGCGTGTGACTGAAGGAGGATCAGCAATGCGTGACATATCATGACTGTACGAAAAAAAAGAGCTGTGTCACGCTTACGAAACACAGATTATAGAAGTGGTCACTCGAGGTCTTTATGCCTAATTCACGAATAAAAGTGGCATCAGGATAGAACATAGTGTCCGCCCACTAATGCTTTTAATATTTTTGTCTGCTATTTCAAAGTAAGAAGAAAGAACGCCTTATGTAGGGGTTATGTCTCTCCGTGACATATTAGCAGGTTCTGAACAGTTCAATTTTTCGGTTAATTCCAAATCAGAATTTTCATCGACAGTTGTAAGACCAATTCCGATTTTTATCCCCATTGACCTATTACAATGCCAGCTTTACGTAAGGAAATACTGACTTCCCCATAAATCGTTTCACAAATTTTGTTAATTCCATATTGCTTATGGTTATGCTGCAGAAATATGAATTCTGCTAGTCTCATCTAACAAACCTCGCGTTTTCTTGAAATTCTGTTTACAAATCGGTTGCAAGCGAGCTTAATAAACTGCAAAGGAATGTATTGTGTCCTCTTCGCGTCGCCCAGCACGATTCTGCCCCTCAACCAGCCTCCTATCCAGTGGGTACCGGGGGTAACGCGGCCGAAGCGTCAAGCTGACCACACACCTCCAACTACTGCTGAGGTCAAGAAAACGTGGATCTATACATCCACTCCCCCATACGTCTTCATGGCGCAGTGCTTAATTAGTTAAGCAAAGGGACAATTTATTTTAACCTCCAATATATGGATCAGTTGGAGATTCGAAAATTGTAACAGTTAAGGGATGACATATCCAATGTGACCTGCACATGGTCAGTATGCCGAAATATGTCACATAATAAGAAACTGTCCAGAATTAAATCACTTTATATGCCGTAGCTCATAGCTCTAAGTTCCCATATCTATTAATACTGAAGAAAAGAAAAACAGATGATCCAACACAGTATTTCACTTACCCACAATTAGGACCACTACTGCCCAGAGAGCGTGAAAGCTCAACAGAGAACATAACATGATCTCTTCTCGACTGATGAAACACTATACGAGAGACTGTGCATAAACTAACGTTATCTACAACTGTATGGTCACTTCTCATCCGAAACAGCTGCTGAAAGAGCAGTATCACGAATTATAAAGTCCCACGTCACGATGTTGCAACAGAACACCTGTTTTATGACTCAGAGTTGGCGTTTGGGCCAGGTCGTGACATAGCTTAGCTCAGGTGGTTAATCGCTGGTTTCCCACAGCGGCGGGCCGGGTTCGAACCCAGGTCAGGTTATGTGAGATTTGTGGTGGACAAAGTGGCACTGGGGTAGGTTTTCTCCGAGTACTTCGGTTTCCCCTGCCAGTTCTTATTCCACCGATTGGTTCACACTCATCTATCATCTGGGGCTGGTACAGTAGGCCAATAGTACCAAGTGGACTCAGTCTCACCCCACTAACAATAATAATAATAATAATAATAATAATAATAATAAATAATAATTCTGTTCGAGCCAAGAGATTAGCTCTTTTTGTTTCCAACAGATGGCACTGCAGTGGGGAACCCCGAATCTCGTAACGTTGTCTAAACATGCATTTTCGCAGAGTTCAACATATCGGATACAATGAGTTCGTTATAGGAGCCGGTAAGAATATTTAAAAAAGAGCCAAAATACATATAAAATGTCACAACTCCTTTCCATTAAAAAAAAACGTTCGAGAAAATTTCCACAATGAGACGAAAACTGTAACTGATTTTGTAATTGTTAAATTTTATATAAAATTGACTTCTAATTAAAGATCGTTGTTATGTCCTTACGGCATAACGAAGGGTGATTTTAAACGTCGGGGTTCCAGTGCGCCCCGTCGAACTTTCGAAACCAAGTAAATTGGGGGGGGGGAAACACAGGTTGCCCAAAGGTGTGGCAAGTCTCGCTTGTAAACGCTGAACGCGTAGTTGAGACACGTGTAGTAATTCTTGCAATTTATTGAATTTATGAAGATATCCTGACTTGCAGAGGTCTTCCTTTATGCAGAATGTCTCAGGAGGAAAGTCCAGCGTTTAATATTATATTTTTAGACAGCATGCGAGAAGACAAAAATTTATGGACTCGATGATGCGCTAGGCTGAATAAACTAACAAATCATTGCATAAGGCCAGAGTTGGGTATGTATAAATTAACTGCGAAAAAACAAATAAACAAAACTAATTGGTTACAGCGTGTGGAAGAGGAATGGGGGCTCATAGATTGCAAAATGTGTCCTGTAATATAAACCAACAGCGAGAAGGGACGTAGGTAGATCTAGGAAGAGATGGAAAGACAGTTGAGATGGCCTGTATCTTCGTGTTGAGGACGATCATGATGGTGAATTCAAGTCAAAGTCAAAGTTACGTTACGACCGACGGTTAGCTGGCCAGCTTCTCTTGGTGTCAAGCAGCAATCTTGGGCTCAAGACTAGATTTTCGGTACTGCCAGACAGTTCCGGTTTTGTTGATATGGAGCGCCCTCTCTGAAAAGAGGGCGGTCCTGTCGTTTACACCTGCTTCTGGCCCTCGACAGCGTAGTCATTCTAGGTTACGAGTCCCGCGGAACTCATGACCTTATTTTACTCTGTCATATTAGAGATACCTCCAACCTGGAGGGTCAGGTCCCCGTATTTATATCCTTCAGGTACAGGATGGCCCAGTTATACCTCCAGGTACTGGGTTACCTTTCTGTCGCCTCGTACGACTCGCAGAGCTACGATGGAGTTATTCGAGCCCTTATCCACGCGGGGTATGTTGAATTGTAATATAGAATGTAGTTCCTACCTCACAGGGAACACCGCGTCTTCATTACAAATACCAGCGAGTTAATGACATTGAGAGAAACAAATGCTATTCATTCTGAAAATAATATGAGACATATATAAATTTGTTGTTATAATTTGATGCAGGTGGTACATATAGTAACCGCGGTGCTCGAAGATTAGAAGTGAAAGTTACGTAATCATGAAATGTTATTACAAGTTCCAAATTCTGGCATCGTCTAATGGATAATACGTCACAAAACCGTTCTTCAGTATTGGTGCTTCCAGTAGTTCACGTGTTCATACAAATAATCTGAAGTGCGAATATGAAATATTCTTATGTAACTCCATTATTTATCCTCTGTGATGATAAGCAAATATCATCTGTTTGGCGACACTTCTTGTCTTGCCTGTTGTCATTGAAGTTCAGAACTTCGCTTGGTGTAGCACCCTACAAACCCACGAAGGAAGAAATCGCCATCAATGTTAGGTTTTGTGTCCACAAGTCCAGTTTTCTGGATTATTTTGACTTCGCTATTAGGTAAGAAGTGCTGTGAAATTACAAATCATCCTATAAACTTAGTACTATGAAGGTCTGGTCAGTTGTGGAACAGTGTTTCTCAACCCGTGGGACTTCGGGATGGGTGGGTCAATGGTTTCTGATGTTCTCTACTCCCTGCTACTCCCCTTCTACTTTACGGTCAAAGTCAAAGTCACATTACGACTGACGGTCAGTCAGTCAGTCAATCTTCGTGTAGAGCCCGTTCTGGGGCTTATGACCAGGTATTTATTACTGCTTGACTGTTTAGATCTTGTTATCGTGGGGCGCCCTCTCTGACGAGAGGACGGGTCTGCCTTATGTCAGAGTCATTGTCTGCAGTAGTAAGTCATTTGTCACAATGTGAAGGACATTTACATTTTACATGTTAAACATGATAATAAATGTATTAAATATATACAGGGCCTCTGTCAGTCCAGGCTCAGTACAGCAGATTTTGCCCTATTTCTAGTAGCTTCCGTTACAACGGCAGTTTAGTCACTTGTCAAGGATGCGTGTTTACTGGTCCGTTACATAGTAATGGGTGTCCACATATGTCGTGTGAGCTTGTGTTGCGGGAATGTGTTTACAAATCCGTTGCCTAACAATTGGTTTACACTTCCCATTATTATTAGAGATATTTTGTTTGGATGTTAGATAGGGTAATGAAGATAAAACCTGAATTACGCATGTTGCTTATCGCTCTATGATAATATTTAACTTCAATTACTTCTTATGAATTATCTACGAGCTTCTTAATCCTAGTTAATATTTCGACCGACTGATAGTAAGATAAATTATTATGGCTATTTAAGAACACTTTCGATACCAAGGGCTTGTAGCTTCGGAGTGTAAGATGACTGAAAAATGAAGAAACAGAAATGATTCGGAAAGGAGCCGTCTTAGTTTGAACGCTTTAGTATTGTGGCATGACGCCTGAAAGCAGGAATAGTGGAGACCGGGAGAACCGAGCGGATTACAATTTTTTTAAAAACATTTTTGAGGCGTGGAAATATTTAGAAATAAGTATACAAAATTTGAATTTTTTTAAAAATGGTGAGCGACCTCTTTGGATGACTTCAAATGGAATGACCCTACCCGGCTTTTCATACAGTTCGCTGTTGCCTGTTGCCCGTGTCAACAGCGTCGTCGCTTGCCACGTCACAGTAGAAAGTGCTGCCGCTTCACAGTAGGAAGCTTTGCCACGTCACCGCGGGGTAGGGGGGGGGCGGAACGCCGACCGTCCCGCAACCGCAGCCGCGACAGCGGTCGATGCCGCCACGTCACCGCTGGGGAGGGAGGGGGTGTCCTCCATAGCGCAACACGTCACAAAATATATATATGTTCAAAAGACCCAGTTCTGTATTCGAGTGGGACTGGATTCGAATCTCGACCATGGCACTGACAATAGTGACGGAAATTGTCATGGTTTTATTCAGTCCCTTCGAGCAATTTCCGACATACTGTCACGTAGTATTTGGGCTGTGTGAGTATAGACGGGGTTTGGATTGTATGATTTGGTTTATTTCACCCATACACTCAACTCGGGACTACAGGCAGTAGAGCGCTATCGCTGATCTACACACTTTACAGTTCATCATTACACACACACTTGGGTTCTCGGTCTTCACTAGTCGTATCCTGGCAACGGATTTCAACACAATAATTATAAGAGTCTCACTGTAACTGCACCACACACGAGCTGCCGCGTGGAAGTGGCACGGCAGAAGAAAACCAGTAGGAAGGTGTCCCGCCATGCAACAGTGGCATGGCGTCGGAGGAACATCTTCAGGAAATCTTGGACCCGAGGAGATTATGTATCCCGGATGAAGTTGGCAGCCACCCGCAGGAAGGTATCCCGTCGCACAACAGTGGCACGACGTTGGAGAAATGCCTTCAAGAAGGAAACTCCCCAGGGAACCTTCGGATACCGGAGAAAGGAATTGGCCGTCGACAATTGTCTGCACTGTCTCTGCATGCAGCCTTATGACGAGTCTCAACCATTGCGGGGTGCCCGTAGCAGCATAGAGAAACCAGCAGTGGGCACTGTTGCGCCACGGTCTCGTACCGGCAAGTGGCAGGAAGACCAGGAAGAACGACGACGTCAGCTGGTTCAAACCACACTTCAAGTGCTGTAGCAGCGTAGAGAAACCAGCAGTGGGCACTGTTGCGCCACGGTCTCGTACCAGCAAGTGGCAGGAAGAACAGAAGGAACTACGACGTCAGCTGGTTCAAACCACACTTCAAGGGCTGTTACGTCAACATAAGACGTTACATTTGTGTCAGAAGTGGCCCAACACGCGACAATATATATATCATCATCAGTAATCTGTCAGACGACAGGTCCACAGTCTCTTCCAAAACAATTCCTCCACTTAAAGCGATCTAGAGCTTTCTCCTTCAAATGACAGTATCATCTTCTGTCCCCAAGGTCATCCAGCATCTTCTTACGTCTTCTTCCTCGTCTTCTTGTCACTTCTATCCGCCCCTCTATCTTTCCTTCAATAACTTCTTTTAGAAGGCAGTTTCTGCGTAAAACATGACCAATCCAATTAGCCTTCCGTTTTCTTATTTCGTGTAGGATATATATATAATATACCTATGTAACCATTTAAATAATTGTAGTAAGTTCGTGTATTGCCTGCTTTAACAGAAAACTCTGCGTTTTCCCCATAGAATGTATTGTGACATGTAGATCTATTGCCAAATAACAGCTGTGTGAACAGGGTACAGTATAACGGCTGTTGTTATGGAACAGCTATGTGGACATGTTTTTCTGACAACGAAGGAACACACAATAATGGAAGAGACATTTACTGCGCGGTCCGTGCCGGAGCTATATAACGATTGAGAGAGATAAAAAACAAAATGGAATAGTAACTGTAGTACAGTAGTTTATGACAGAATTTAGTGGTGCTGTGTCAGAGCAGAAGACAGTGGCCATTACAAAAATTTTCTTCACTCTCATGAAGCAAAATGACCACAAGAATTCATAGCCGGAAGCTACTAAAGATAGGGCATGATCTGCTGTACCGGGCCTGTACATTCATGTAATAACATGTAAAATTTAAATATATTGTACATTGTGAAGGTCAGACCCACATCGACAAACCCACAACTGACAGAAACAAAAATCTGGTATTAGGTCCCAAATGGGTATTTGACACCATGACGGACTGACCGACTGACCCTCGATTGTAACATAATTTTAACTTTTACTTAAGAACAAAATGGCTGCTAGAGTTCGTAGGCCGTTCTTGTCCCGCTTATAACATCTCAGCACGGACCGCTTAGAAAACATAGTTCATTGTTCTCGTAGTTCAATTGTTGCCTAGGGACCGCATAGAAAACACCTTTCCTCTGTTGCTGAATCCAAGTTTGCTTAGCGGATAGCGCAGGAAACACCATTCCTCTGTTATTTGCGGGCCGCTGCCTAGCAACGGATCTACATACCACAGTATCACAGTGTCACCTTCGATAGACGGATGACATGGAGAAGCCATATCGAAAGGATTGTAGCCAAGGTCTTGCGAACATACGTAAGGCCCTATTCTTTATTCAGAAGTGGGCGTTTAAGTACAGATATTAAATTTACGCTTTAAAAAACTCCGATTAGGTCAGTTATGACTTACACCTGTCCCACCTGGGAGCATGCGGAGGACGCTTGCCTCTTGAAACTGCAGGGCTCACAGAATAGAGTACTCAGCGCACTTGCAAATCTTGACAGGTACACACCAGTCCGCGAATTGCACTGGCTTTCATGATTCCTTGCGCGTACGACTATATAACTAAGTTATGCAGGGTGTGTGCAGAATAAATCCTAAAGCATGTAAATCCAAATATGCATGGTATTGGACAAGGAGCAGGTATGCATAGGAAGTGTGAAGCTGGTAGCTGGGGCCAGGGGGATTTCGGGAACACAGAAGAACATCCACCGTTGGAAGCCGCTACCAAGCAACGGCTATTGAAGACTGAGAATACTTCATGTGTGCTGCAGTTACAGTTATTTTTGGAGTGTGTAACTCAGTGAGACTGTAGTAGTTATTTGTAGTTACGTTCTGTAAGTGTTCAATAAATCCGTGTACCAATCCAAACCCCGTCTATATTCACTCAACCACGCGATAATATTTATGAGTTTCATCGGATTTCAGAATAATCGGTGGTTATTTCCCTAAACAGGATTAACCGATTTGCATTTGTAATACAGACAGAGTTCATTTGCTGTGAGGTTGTAACTGATTTTCACATGTTATCTGAACAGGTTACAAGCTTGAGGGGTATATAAAGATATCAACCTTGTCCTCGGCAAGAAGAAGAAGAATCAATTACCGGTGCTGAAATAGTTAAATGATTATCCCATGTGTTTATCGGCCTATTGTTTTCCCAGAAGAAACAGGATTGCTGTATTTCATATGCAATATTGTTGGTTTCAAGTCACGGAGGATGAGGTTGGCAGGGCGTGTAGCACGAATGGGGGGAGAAAAGGAATGCATATAGGATATTGGTGGGAAAGCCAGAAGGAAAGAGACCACTGGGAAGACCAAGGCGTAGGTGGCCGGACAATATTAAAATGTATGTTAGAGAGATAGAATGGGATGGTATGGATTGGATTGATCTGGCTTAGGATAGGGACCAGTGGTGGGCTCTTGCGAACACGGTAATTAACCTTCGGGTTCCATAAAATGCTGGGAAATTCTTGAGTAGCTGCAGATTTGACTTCTCCTCAAGAAGGGCTCAGCTCCATGAAGTAAGTATTGTTGGTTTGGGTATGAATAGTCATTAACAAACTTCTTAATTTGTGCTGAATATTCTGACCCTCAGGATTCAAGATTTACCTCAAATTACGAACTGGAATGTGCAAGAGCACGAAACGGATGGATGGAAAGACCGTTATAGTCACGGGCGCCAACACAGGTGAAGCTCAACTACTATTGTATATATTGTTATTGTAAGTCTCATGCTGTCTGTTCGAATAAACTGTTTATCCAGTCACGTGGCCCAAGTAACTTTGGAATGTTACAGCCATTTTGTCCTCCAAGTTAGCACTACCAACGTTAAAAGTTTATTTCTAAGAATATACGAGTAACAGAAAACCTAACCCTAAAAGGCGTGAACTTTTGAAAACGGAACCAAATTAATAATATTATAAAGACGTGGTACAGTGCATGAACGAGAAAGAATGATCCGGAAAATCTATTGCTCAGATACGTTCTCTGTGTTTTTTTGTTTAATGCTAGTGGGGTGGGACTAAGGCTGAAAACCCACTGACGCTACTAGTCGCGAGCGGCTAGCCGCTCTTTGTCGCGCGCGTCCGTTAGTTGTACATATAGGCGTGCGACAGCTCTGCCGCCTGTGTTCCGCGTTCCAAAACTTAACCGCGCGCGACTCATAAAAGCAATTCAAATAACGGCCGCGAGCGACAACACTCGACAAACCGCGCGCGGCTTGTCGCGTCAGTGGGTTTTCAGTAAGTCCCTTGTACTGCGGCCACTTCTGGCCTATTGTACCAGCCCCAGATGATAGGTGAGGGTGGTTGTGGAGCAATTGGTGGAATGAAGATTGGCAGGGGAAACCGAAGTACTCGGAGAAAACCTGCCCCAGCGTCACTTTGTCCACCACAAATCTCACTTGACCAGACCCGCGATGGAATCCGGGCTGCCGCGGTGGGAAGGCGTATCGTGGCTTAGTAAACTGTTTAACCTCACTTTCAGTATCGAGGTTGGATACCAACAAAAAGGTTTCGTTCTTACATATTAGGCGGAAATTATCATGTATGAAAGAATGTATTTACTTTTTTCTCCAGGGATTGGAAAAGAGACAGCACGTGACCTTGCTCGAAGAGGAGCGAAGGTAATTCTTGCCTGCAGGAATTTAAAGGAAGCAAACAAAGCTCGTGGTACGTGACTTCTCTCTGTTTTGTCCATTATTTATTTAACGACGCTGATATAAACTCGTACTATATCACGTCGGACCTAATCCTTCCAGCCGCACTATGGTCCTGGGGTCGACTCATGTTCTAAGAGAAATGAATAACAGGAACCTTCCTGGAGGGGTTAAGGGCGGCCGGCACGTAAGGCTGACAACCTTACCGCCTTCTGTGAGCCGATTGTCTAGATAATGTGGGATGGGCGTCTCACAACCCAGTGGCCCTCCACCGCCTGTTACAGAGATACCTTTGCCTTTTATCTTTGCCTATAAGAAGTGATTGCAGGTCACGGTAGCCGAGCGGTCTAAGGCGTGCACTGTCTTCGCTCGCTCGGAAGCCGCGATCGTGGGTTCGAATCCCACTCAGGGCATCGATGTTTGTGTGCGTTTTTCTGTGTTTGTCTACAGGTAGAGGCCTTGCGACGAGCTGATCACCCGCCCAAGGAGTCCTACCGAATGTGTAAGATCTAGTAAACCGAAGTGAACGGAGAGTTCATGGAGGTAGGCCTAGGCTCACTGGGGCTGTAGTGCCAAGGGAAAAGATAAATAGTAATTAATCATAAGGTTATACGTTTATAAGATTTACATTTCGTTTATGGGATTGTCTGTGTTGACTTTCTTGTGACACTACAGGAAAATTTATAATATTAGGGATTCGTTTCGTCCTAAAAATTGCGATATTTTATGTATATGTGTTTTCTAGTTTTCCTTGATATTTTGATCAGATAATTTCATAGTGCATCCCATTCGTTCATAGTTCTTATGTTCACATGTCTACATTTAAATGGGGTTTCATCAGGTACATATATTTTTGTTTATTTCTTTATTCTAAGAGACTGTGCCTTTGATTCTGTGTGCTTCCATAGTATTCGAGCTCCCCGGAATTTTCATTATTGCCAACATTTGGGATTACTTTATTTTTTACAAGCTTCTTAAAGAAAATATTTTAATTTCTGTCCAATATTTACTTTGAAGTGCACATATTTCACTACACCAGAAAGTTTTTCTTTCCTTCAAAAACATGCCTTGTACTACCTCAGTCTGTCTTCAAGGACCCACGTCAGCCTGCGTCAACACATCAGTCCTTGTGTTTAAACACACAGATTACTCACCAACAGAAAGAAAAATACCCGAAGGAGTAGCTGAAGTACCCAAATGGAATAAATTGACATGTAATTTATCGTATAATTTTTACCTTGACTGAATCAGATAGGCTGCACACGAATAGTGAAATTATAGCACGGGATCGAGTGAAGTGCCGGTTTATATACGTAGAAATAGAAAACTAAACAAAAACATTAAAGATTTTACTCTAGAATATTTATGCTATTTTGCGTTTTACTCACATCTTGGTAAAAATAAGTTGAATTCGATCTACGAGCTAATTCAGTACCAATATACATTTTCATACAGCTCCACACTCGCAGTTCATGTATACACGTATACGGCTGATTTGTGTACGTTACCTGAAGGTGACCGGTTACGGTCGAAACATGTAGTGACTGAGAAGAAAGACGAAACAAGAAAGTCTTTTATTGTAAGTTTATGTGACGGTTGAGTCTGGATAGCGCAGCTGGTATAACGATTAGCCACCGGCTGGACGACCGAGGGGTCGGATTTCGAGTCCCGATGGATTAAAGAATATTCTTTTCTCCACGTGTTTCAGATCGGCTCTGGGGTCCACCCAACCTTCTACCCAATGGGTAACGGGGGCTCTTTCCCCGGGAGTAAAGCGGCCGGAGCGTGAAACCGACCACTGACATTCAACTAGTGGCGAAGTGAAAAAAACGTGGGTCTATACATCCACTCCCCTATACGCCTTCATGGCGTAGTGCTTACTTAGTTAAGTACAGGGACAGCTTTATCTTTTATGTGATGGTTTCTGTTATGATTTAGAAGTAAAAACCAACGGGAAGGAATCGTACAAGAATATACTGAGGCTGTTTGAGAGAAGATTGCTATGGAGAACATTTGGACCTAAGAGAGAGTAAGTGAGTGGAGGCTGGAAAAAACATTTTTCACATCATAAAGTTTATTCCTGTACTAATAAAATGTGTGCAGAATTGGTATGTTTAGTAACCAAGGGCACGTAATAAATTAATTTTGGCCAAAAGTGGACTTCTAAACATCGATGTACCATATACAGTACTTCACTTGTATAGAGGAGTTGACATGGGAGTGGTTTCAGTTGGATTGTTCTCATTTGAAGTTTTTATTTTCTGTACACTCTGAATATACAGAGTCCCAAGCATTTTTAACAACCCATCTTCATCAGATTGTCATGTATATTGTTACATTATTGTTAAAATTCTCATAGCTTCTTTTTTGAACATACAATGCGAACCAAAATCGATTTACTGTGAATTATCTTCCCCCCCCCCCGGACCTCTTTCCCATGAGGTTGCTTGTTCAAAATCCACGAAGATATTTCAGACCGACCATAAGCAGATGTCTTTACGTATCCAATGACTCAAGCCTTTTGTATGTTCTGGAACATCAATATTAGAATATTAACTATAATTTCATTAAGCTCAAATAGCTCCCTTGTTCATGAACACGCCCGTAATAAATATTTACTCCAAAACCAATGTCACTTCCTACATGCTGAAGAATGTAAAGAATTATGACACATCTTTCACAGCACCTTCTACTGTAATATTGACATTCTTCATAAAAGTTTTCAATTAACAATCTATGTCAATATGATTATTACATCTGCTGTGGGCAAATTCCATTGCCAAAATTGAGGTTAACATAAGAATTTAAAGTTGTCCCTGTGCTTAACTAATTAAACACTACGCCATGGAGATGTATGATGGAGTGGATGTATATACCAACTTTTCATCATATAGACACTAGTTAGAGGTGAATAGTCAGCTTCAATCCCCGCCCGCGTTACCCCAGGGGAAAGAGCCCCCGGTACCCATTGGATAGGAGATTGGCTCTGCCCAAGATCCGGTCTGGACGTCGTGGAGAAGAGAAAGTTCTTCACCATACCGGGACTCGAACTCCGACCCCTCTGACTTCCGGCCCGTAGTCAGTCGCTGGTTAGGTTAAGTTGATTTAATATTACATTTGTACTGCTGCATTGTTAATTGATAACGTGATGTATATGCAACACAGTCATCGATACAACTTAAAGATTGTTGAAGAAAGCAGTCTTCTGGGATTTGGCACCGTGTATATGTGGTGTTAACCGACGTTTCGGAGGAACGTATCGCCCCCATCTTCAGGGTTGAAGAAAAAGTATAAGTAAATCTGCAAGCGACAACACCGTGAGACACGGTAAGGCAGNGTAAATATTAGTTAAGTTTTGGTCCAACAGATCCACTGGCTCGTGGAGAGCTGGTATCAGGGCCAACAGTGATACTGAAGGGGGAAATATTATCAAAAACAGTTCATTTCAAGGCCACCGAATACATGAAAAAGCCTTCAACTCTCAAGCGGTCACCATCCGGGGTCTGACCACGCAAAATATTACTTAGCCTCCGTTGTGTGCCTATGGGAAACAAAGTGGTAGAGGGAGCCACATGGCCCCGGTACTGGCACCCCCCCACCAGCGGATCTGTTGGCCCAAAACCTATATACAAATGAATATTCTACATAAGATGTGAGGTTTCTACAGCAGTGACTATGAAGAATGCCATATTCTGGGATGTGGCGCCGTGTATATCTTGTGTGAACCGACGTTTCGGAGGAACGTATCTCCTCCATCTTCAGGGTAGAAAAATCAGCAAACAAGGAAACAGTGTGAGCAGGTGGCCGCATATCTACATGGCGCCACATCCCAGAAGACATTTTTCAAATGAATATTAATTTACCATACTCACTTCTATTCTGAAAACGGATGCAATAAGTACCTCTGAAACGACGGAAAGACTACCCACATCAACAGTGAACCACAGTAAAAGCTCAAAATGAATACACTGGAACCTTGGTACACGCAACACACTTTAATCCGAACTGACTTGCATTACCATAATAAGAATCGGCCTCTCCAGATATTACCAATTTAATCTGTTTTTATTGCCTGCCAGCAAAAATTAATTCTCGTGAAACAGGATATTTTGTTGTAATGGAAGATGGAAAATATAGCCCGGTTACCGCTAGTCTCGAGCCCGGCGTGTACTGTAATTTCCGCGAGTTTCGGTCATTGTTTGTACATAAGGTGTATCTATGAAAGTTCTGAGTAAATAATTTTGCTAATAAAGTTGATTTTTTATTTGAAATCCAATAATCCGAACGATTCGACAGTCCGAACACAGCGTGGCTTTAATTAGTTCGGAGTATCAAGGTGACACTGTAGGTTTCTGGTGGTAAAGAAAACCCCCCCAAAGGTGTCTCCACCTTGTCGTGGTGGGGGGGCTTGCGTGACTCTGTGACCTGGAGAGCTTTGCCGGCGGTAATTTAACTACGGTAGAGTCACCCATGCCGGAAAGGTCAAAAGGTAGAGTGCAAACAAAGAGAGATACCCTGGTCCTCCAGGTTGGGGGTTGGGCATGAGGCTAACAACCTCATTCTGTAAGGAGAAGTTTGTTCAGAAATATAACAACCAGCCTCGGGGTCATCATGTGTAGGTCCATTCCTATGATAGCACGCACTGGTTGTGGAGACTGGTTGTAGAGGAGGCCAAGGCTCACCCAGGGCTGTAGCGCTGAGTGGTAGGTAGGTAGGTAGGTAGGTTGGTGGTAAGGAAAACTTATAATATAATTAGGTTAATTTAGTATAAAGGCACAATAAACCACTGTGGTCGCCGTGCAAGGGCCAAGAAGGCCCATCCCTTATACATTCATTCATTCATTCATTCAATTTAGTATAATGGTTTGTTTCGTTTTACAGACTTAAATAACTAATTCACGTACGCTAACATAGGACTGCTTGTGTTCACAGTCGATATTGTTGCAAGCACTGGGAACAATATGGTGGAAGTGCGTCACCTGGACCTCAGTTCGCTGGGTTCGGTCCGCCGGTTTGCAAACAACATTATCAACACAGAGACACGTCTCGACGTGCTTATCAACAATGCAGGTGCTGCAGGGTTTAAAAACAAAATGACGGCCGATAACCTTCAACTCGGCATGCAGGTGAACCACTTCGGACCGTTCTTGCTCACGTGCCTCCTCCTGGGTAAGACATTGTCTGGAGGAAAATTACCCTTACGAGCAGCTTCAACTTAACCGCCTCGGTCGAGTGCTTAGAGTTCCTGCTTCGTATACAGGATATAGTGGTTTGCTTCTAGTCTAGGTAGCCGGCTAAACTTGCTGAGTTTTTCGTGGTTTTCCCCTGTCCTCCAGGCAGAAGCTGGCGTCTTTATTTTAAATAGGCAACGACATCTGCCATTGGTATCCTTCCCAATCCATTACTCTCAAACCGACTTCAAAGCTAAACAATTCGGTAGCTGAGAAACCGTAATTCATATGTGAGGAAGGAAGTAAATCTATACTGAGGCCACGGAAAGGAGTCCCTTAGATGAACCCCTTCACATCTAGCCCTCCGGCATAGACTTCTGTATTGCCTTCCAGTCTTCTAACCATTCTGCCACACGAATACTGATAGTGATAACCTTTGCTAGGACACAAGCGTTTTGGGCTGGTTGACATAGATCAGCTGCGCTGCAGGGGAATGCGAGAGTAGGCATAGAGGAGGAAATTTCGAACGTTGTCATCCAAACCATTCCTAGTGCTTCCTTTCGTGGCCTCAGTTTAAGCACAATGCCATGAAATCGGTATAGCGACTGGTTACGGGCTGGACGACCGAGGGGTCGGAGTTCGAGTTCCGGTAGGGTCAAGAATGTTCTCTTCTCCACGTCGTCCAGACCGGTTCTGGAGTTCACCCAACATCCTATCCAATGGATGGCGGGGCTCTTTCCCCGGGATTAAGGCAGCCGGAACGTGAATCTGACCACTCTCCTCCTGCTACTGGCGAGGTCAAGAGAAAGTGTGGATCTATAGATTCACTCCCCATACGCCTTCATGGCGTAGTGTTTAATTAGTTAAGCACAGGGACAACTTTACCTTTTACCTTTGCCATGAAGTTATATTGCACAGGGTCCTGCTGTTGTGAGACAAGTGAAATGCATTTACGGGCACGCGGTAGCGTAGTTCGTTGGGTCACCATGTTACAAGCCGGACGGTCACGGGTTCGATTTCCGATGAGGTAATTACATTTTTCGGTTTACCTAATCCTTCAAACAGAATTAGATCCCTGGGTTCGACTCGAATTTTAACAGAAATCAGTACCAGGAATCTTCCTGCGGGCAAGGGGCGGTCGGCGCGTAAGGCTGGTAACTTCACAGCTGTCTATGAGCCGATTGTCTAGAAAATGTGGGAGCCTCGACGTCTCACAACACTATGGGCCTCCACGGCTTGTTACGGGGATAGCTTTACTTTTCTACCCTAAAGTATTTAAATGCTTATCCACACATCAAAATATTTAATACAGAGAACAAGTTTTTTTTTAGTTTCTTGGGGTGAGGTGAGACTGAGTCCACTTGGTACTGCGGCCACTACTGGCCTACTGTACCAGCCCCAGATGATAGATGTTAATGAATGTGGAGGAGTTGGTGGAATGAAGATTGGCAGGGGAAACCGAAGTACTCGGAGGAAACCAGCCTCAAAGCCATTTTGTCCACCACAAATCCTACAAGACCTGAACTGGGCTCGATGCCATGCCATCGCGTTGGGAAGCCGGCGACTAACTGCCTGAGCCATGGCACGGCAAAACAGAGAAATACACGTATACATTGCATCTAAAATTATTCAGTAAGTATTACCAAGTTCTTTCTATTACAGGACTGTTGAAGAAATCGGCTCCCAGTCGAATTGTGATGCTATCATCATGGTTACACAAGACTGCCAAATTTGATCTTTATAACCTCAATTTTGAGAAGTGGTTCGATACTCTTCAGGTGTATTCTTGCAGTAAGTTAGCAAACATTCTGACGGCTAACGAATTAAGCAGGAAGCTGAAAGGGACAGGTGAGTGTTTCTTTTTGCAGAAGGTATTATAACATTTTGTAGGGCTAATATACTCGTACTTCTGCCGATCGCATCGGCCGCGAGGTCTAAGGCATGAACTGTCTTCGCTCAATCAAATGCTGGGATCGTGAGTTCGAATCCCGCTCAAAACATGGATGTCTGTTTACGTTTATTCTGTGTTTGTGTTGTCCTGTGTGTAGGTAGCGGCTTTGCGACGGGCTGATCACCCGTCCAAGGAGTCCTACCGACTGAGTAGAGGATAAATAGCGGCGAAGGTCCAACAAAGGGAAGTATAGCCATAGACGGACAATGTACTTCTACTGTCCTCTAGGTTTTCATGAAATAATGCTTAATTAATTAAACACAGGGGCAAATTTCTCTTTACGGCCGTAGGAATCTTTTACGCTGACCACGCGACACCCTCTATCCGCATAAGTTGGCACTAACTTCGCCAACAAGCGACGGTCGCTGGGTCGTTATAATTCTCTTGCGGAATAAATGCCACGGAGTTGTTTTTCATAATCTATGCACGAACATCTCATTAATAAAGCGGACGCATTCCTTGAAATCGCCCATTAACACCTTAAAGCCCATAGGTAATTACGTTTACACCCTACTTAAACATTCAGAAGCTCTGCGTGTTGCCCACACAGCGCATTTACACGTATGAGTTTCCTGCGTTTCTCTCAATAGCGTAATTGCATGTACGAGTAATAAACTTCCGTTATTCAATTCCAAGTACTGCGTAATTCTCCTCTGAGAATCCTCTACCTTTCTCGAGAGTTCTCTGTTGTAGAGACATATATACAAGTACTTATATCTGAGTTGAGACGGGATAGCGTAGGCAGTATAACGATTTGCTACGGGCTAGGCGACCGAGGGGTCGGAGTTCGAGTCTCGGTAGGGTCAATAATTTTCTCTTCTCCACTTCGTCCAGACCGGGTCTGGGGGCCACTCAACCTATCCAATGGGTTCCGGAAGCTCTTTCTCCGGAGGTAAAACGGCCGGGTCGTCAAGGTCAAGAAAATTTGGATCTCTACATGCACTCCCTCATACGCCTTCATGGCATAGTGCTTAATTAGTTAAAACACAGGGACAACTTTATATTTTTTATCTATTAAATCTTAATTTTTCAGTTTACCTCGGATAAATGGCCTATTCCTTTTACACACATTTACATTGCATTAAAATTCACCGTGAACGCAAGACTCAAAGTATAACCGACCCCACGGTTCGTCGGTGCGACACTTCTGTGCTCACTCCACACTCTGGTGCTCATTCTCACTTTTCACTGCTTCTGCCTCCCGATCTCTCCTTTGTTGTCGCTCCGGCCACCGTCCCCATCTTGTTGAAGAGGTACTTATCATGGGAAGGTGTGGAGTGTTGATTGGGCGCCAGTAGGCGTATGTTGGTATATTGCAATTGAGATGTGTCTTGTGGGGTTGGTAGAGCTGATATGTAGTCTCAAGGACGTACAGGGCTTCACTCCGGGAAGAAACTGATGATACTAACTTTGTACGAACACCAATTTAGTTCAACACAAGGTTATAGTTATTGCTTTTTTTTCCTTTGGCGTTACAGCCCCAATTTGGGCCTAGGCCTACCTCCATGAAACTCTCCGTTTCACTTCGGTTTACTAGATCTTACACATTCGGTAGGACTCCTTGGGCGAGTGATCAGCTCGTCGCAAGGCCTCTACCTGTAGACAAACACAGAAAAACGCACACAAACATCCATACCCTGAGTGGGATTCGAACCCACGAGCCCGGTTTCCGAGCGAGCGAAGACAGTGCACGCCTTAGACCGCTCGGCTACCGTGACCGGCATGCTTATTGTTTACTGTAATTTATATTACCAAAAGAGTTGCTGCTTAACACCGTGATTATACTTGTACCATTCGAATTTCCGGTGACGACTTGACACAGTTTTTTGTCCTTGCAATTCAGAATTTGGAAGAAAACTATCTTAATGAAGGGTCTACGCTGTAGCGTAGTTTGGCTGAGGCACTGCGCTGAAAGCCGGAAGTTTACGGGTCGAGTCCCGATGAGTTGGATTTTTTCAGTTAACTTAATCCTTCCAGCCCCTAACAGAAACGAGTACCAGGAATCTTTCTGGTAGGTAAAGGGTGGCCGGCCCGCGCGTAAGGCGGACAACCTCACCATCTGTGAGCCGATTGTCTAGAAAATGTTGGACCCTCGACGTCTCACATCCCTATGGGGCTTCACGGTCTATTAGGTAGGCCGCACACCGGCATGAGTGAAGACATGTAACAGTCAAGACACGCTATCTGCGACATGACGCAAAAAAGGAGCATAGTTGAAACAAATGAGATTATGAAAACCGCCGCACACCGATCTGAGTCATAATGCTGACGTCAGTTTCATGGTAACGAATCACGAATGAACAAGACTGAATCTGTTATCTCATGTCTTGATGCTTGTCTTGATGCAGTTGGTGTGCGGTCGCCCTTGCAGGGATAGCTTTAACTTTTTTTTACCTACCTATTTTAATGAATGATCGAAAGAACCGAGCTTCTTCGAGCCCAAACTTACAAGAGGAAGCCCCTACCTGAAACAGGCTCTATTTGTCCAGTTCAAAATTTGGAAAATCACCAGAAATTTACCGGTCCCAGTGATAGAGATTTGCTGAGCGATTTTAGCCCTTAAAGATTCAACGGCACTTCTGACAGCATCTTGATAGATCATGAGCTTGGCTTGGGTCTGGGGCCCACCTACTCTTAGTTTATTGCTTGCACTAGCTCTCAAATCACAGATTTACAAAGACATGCAAGCGTAATTACAACAGTTGACTTCCCAAGAAGCGTAGCGAATGCTACATCCTGTCAATACAGCAAGATTGAGCGTATGTCACTTTCTTAATGTAAAAATGTGACAAATTGTAAGATTTGAGGTTTTCACGGCGGTGACTATGAATAAAGCAGTCTTCTGGGATGTGGCACCGTGTAGATGTGGTGTTAGCTGACGTTTCGGAGGAACGTAGTCTTCTTGCACTGTTCTCACTGTCTCTTCGCTTGCGGATTTTCTTATTTTTCCTTCTACCCTGAAGATGGAGGCGATAGGTTCCTCCGAAACGTCGGTTAACACCACATCTACACGGTGCCACATCCCAGAAAACTGCTTTCTTCATGTGACAAATTGCCCACTCCTTACTTATAATCTATAGCTTATACTTAATTGTTCTTAATTAACATAAATTTTATAGCAATCTTAATTCTAGTGGACTGTTACAAATCATGTTACTGATTCCAGGAGTCACCGCGAATAGTGCTCACCCTGGAACAGTGCTCACAGATGTGTGGCGAAGAGTTCCGAAACTACTGAAGATTCTGTTCTTTAGCATAGCAAGATTTTTCTTCAAGGTGTGTAATAATAAGGCAATGGCTGCTACTGCAATTCATTTAAAGCTTTATATTAACAATGCAGTTGACTGCTGGAGTTCTAAATCTATGTGTCGCGTGAACAATTCGAATGGCTTTGAAATACATAATGAACATCACTATTTTTGTCACCGCCGCTTGTCGACGAAGTTAGTGCCAACTTTAGCGGGTAGAGGGTGTCCACGTGTTCAGAGCAACGAATCCCCACGGCCGTTAATCTTGGTTTTTTAGACCGGAGCCGCTACTTTTCCATTCAAGTTGCTCTTCAATTATCCTCACGAGGCTGAGTGGACCCCGTTCTAGACCCACTTATTCTCATAAATTCTGGGAAACGAACCCGGTACCTCTGGATCTGTAGCCAGGAATTCTGACCATTAGACCACAGAGTCGGTCAGATAATTCCTACGAGGCAGTGGTGACTGACTGTATTCCCCTGTGAACGCGTAGTTCCTACAAGTGTACGTTGATGATTCCAGAATAGCGTCAGCATCGTTTTTTCCTCAGAAGTCTCCACGTGAAAATGTTTGGGCTGGAATGTCCCCTTTATTTGCCTGCCACCTTCGTTTCAGGCTGGTAATAGAGGACACAGTTTCCATCCCCAGTCACTAAAGGCTTCAGGATGCCTCCACCTTTTATTTCTTATCGTCGCAATGCTTCCTGGCAGGCGTAGGTGCGTCTTTCCTTCAATTCGGGAGTCACTTGCTCAAGCGGACACTTCGCTGAACTGAAGCGCATCATGGACGGATGATATGGTTTCCTGCCCATTATTTATGTCCAGTATGGCCGCCGCCTAGTTCCACCTTAACGCGTTAATATTCCTCACTGATGCGCTCATCCTTCGCAATTGTCTGCAGCCGAGTGGCATCCGTGACACTAGACACGCCATTTTTAAACTTCCTACGACTTACGTACACAATCTGGACAGCTAAGTACGCCTCACTGTACTGCAACTTCATGTGGCGATGAACTTCGATGGGTTTGTTACTCATACTAACCAAATAATGGATTGAATAACGTTATTCCTCCTTCCTGCATATTTTAAACAGAGCTGCCATCTTAGCATGCACTGCTGACGTCATGAAGCCGACACACAATATATGCTTCTGAGTCATGCTGATGACTTGCTTTGCTTACAGCTGCACACAGAAGAATCTTGATTTTTGTTTGCACTTTTAAGGTTTTCATTTGGCTCATCCATGTAAAAATCAAATGATAATTTACCGACGAAAACAAAATTTTGCGAGAACATACTTCCATAGATGTGGATTACAGAAGATGCTATAATGTTTTATCCGCTCCGCCTGGAGTCATACGCAAACCTAATGCTCCACTGTTGCAGCTAACATAGCAGGGACGAATCATCACTGAAGGAAATGTCGCTAACCGGGCAGGCAGGCACCGAGTCAGTGTTCAAGGTAAAGAGTGTCGCCAAGTTCCATTTTCTTCAGTAAATTATTGCGTGACATATAGTTATTAACTCGGATCTCCTCCAAGAGAATCAAAAATGTGTTTCAGTTTACTGATGGGAAGAATCAAGCTCTGTTACGTAATATAGAAGGTGTGGTGAACTGAATTAATATACCGTTTACAACCTTACCGCCATCTTTGAGCAGATTATCTAGACAACGTGGGACCCTCAACGTCTCACAACCCTATGGGCCTTCACGGCCTGGTACGGCGATAGCTTTACTTTTTCTTTTTTGTTTGAACATCTTGGAAGGCGTATTACACTTTGAGTAGGCAATCTTACGGAAGGAAAGCCCTTTGTGTTCATCATCAATTTGTGATGTAGACCATTTCATCGTCCTCAGAAGTTACCAGGTTCTGTTTCTTACATAATTCCGACATTCATATGCCGTTGGAACTTTAAAAATTACTTAAGACATTACTTTTCTTCAGTAAGTTACTTACACGCGCCATGGATGGACCTTATTATAATTATTATTATTGGTGGGGGTGGGTTTCCCCATGCACCGCAATTAATAGTCTATTGTACGTCCCCCTTTGATATTCTACCAGTCGCCATACCCTACCGGTACTGGTGCGTGCTATCAGCCCCGTTCAGCCAACGAGGTCGGCCCTCGGTACCTCGATACCTCCCCCATCTACCAGAGGCATTGGAAACTACTTGCCTAATTTTGCTCAGAGGTCTCCTACGACACGGGACCCACGGCTTAAAGTCCCTCCCGGAGGACTTGTTCCCTGAAATTTTCCGCCCTTAAAAATTCCACGACCTCCGCCGTGTTTGAACCCGCGTACCTTGAGTCGTGAGGTGGGAACGTTACCCCTAAACTACGGAGGATGGACCTTAAGTAATAACATTTAGCTTAGATATTACTTTCAAATCTGCCCCTTTAATAATATCCTGTTTCAGAACGCAGTTGAAGGTGCACAAACATCCATCTACTTGGCAGTTTCTGAAGAAGTGACAGGAGTGTCTGGAAAATATTTTGAGAATTGCAAGGTAAAATAAAAACTATATCTATAGTCTATAATCAGCTAAGAGCCGATTGAGAGATGAAGCTCCAGATTTTAAGACCGATAATGTGATCACACTGTGACCTGTATACCCATTGCTAGGCAACGTTTCGGTAAAGACATTCCCGCAACACACGCGCATGAGGCAATAGAAGGACATCCAATGCTAGTTAACCGACTAGTAAACACACATTCTTAACAATAGATGACGGTGCTTTCCGTGGGGTCCGTGCCAAGGGGTTACAAAGGGACAAAGATGGTCGCTTGGAGAGTATAGAAAAGCAGTTGAGAGTGAAGAGTTGACCTTCGAGATGCTAGCCTGCCGAGTTATGAGGAATGAAATTTGGCTGAGTTCTGGAGTTGGCAGTCTAAGGTGATTGAGGATAATGGTAAGAGAGGAATTAGGCGATGCGAGGAGGACTTTATGTGTGATTTGAAGTGACAGTGAGACAGTTATAGATCCGTTGCCAGGATACACCTAGTGAAGACTTAGAATCCTAGTGCATGTGTAACGGTGAACTGGAAAGTGTGTAGAATAGCGATAGCGTTGTATTGCCTGTAGTCCCGGGTAGTGTAAATGTTTAAGGTGCAATAAATCCGATCATTCACTGTAAACCCCGTCTTATAAGTCACGCACCCCAACATGTGACAATATGATACCTGGTCAGGGCTATTGCACACCTCATTAGGGGGTGGCGATAGATGGTTATGTGACAATGGTGGAATGATAAGTAGCAGGGAAAAATCGAAGAAACTCAGAGAATTTCTTGCTCTACTACCACTTCATCCACCTCAAATCCCAAACAAAGTCACAGGATGGAGCCTAAGTCTCTGCATTATGAAATGAGCGCTTAACTGACTGAGTTATGACTTAGCTCTGTAAGATAAAACTATTTGTGATAAAAAAAAAGGGAATTTTATTCACAGTTTTGTTCCATATTATCCACATTCATCTTTGGCCTATCCATTGATGTTCCTGCAAACACAAACACACAGTAACTGCTGTAAGGCATCGCAGAATCCACACATTAAATTTTAGGAAAATTTGGAAGATAGAAAGAAAGTTGTAGGAGGTGATAAATAATGGTTTGCACACACACAGACACGCATAAGAGGCAATTGGTAAACACCTGTTTAATTTCGAGAATGGGACAATGTCCAGAAATGTTGATAACAACAGAATATTCCAGAAGCTTCTTATTTATTATAATAAGCTAAACTAATTGAAGTTTTCAGAAGGTTACGCCCTTGTTGACCATCAGAAAAAATCTTCTCTAACCAGAAGCACAGTTTAGTATTTAGGTTGTCAATATGCTCTGTTAGAATTCTGCCACACACAGTGCATCAAGCAGCAACTTGTTGAGTAAGGTTTACTACCACATTTTGTGTGTACTAAATGTATTTTAAGCATGTCTTATCTCAGCTGTCACTTCACCAAATGACAGCCAACTACTACTTAGTCCACCCAGTCTGTTGAACCCCAGCGCGCAGGTACACAACAATTATTAATATTAACAACTGGCTAAATTCTGACTGATAAGGGACTGAGTGATGTAATGAGCGACTGGTTGAGTGAGCAGCCCACTTACTTGCTGAGGGACAGGCTGACTGACTGTCTCATTAAACTGACCCCAGTTCCATGTTTCAGGGACAGCTTTGAACAATTATACTCACTGTTCTCTGATAAAGAAGTTGTTTGTTTGTTTTTTCTTTTTGGAAGCACTAAGTTTATCACCATGTTCACAAGAATTCTGGCATTGAACCTCCTTCAGAGCCTGCTAAATTCAGGACGCAATTTTACACTGAATTTCACCAACAAGTGAGATCCATTTTCATATAACATCTCCCATTCTAGGTTAGGTCGACAAACATGTCTCCCATGAGGGTATTTGATAATTTCTCACTTCTACCGTGTGTGTCATATTTCATATTATCTTCTACTTATGAATTAGTCACATTAATGAACTTATGTGAAGAGTACATGCTTATATTAAGAATAAAAATTATGAAGCTCCTCATTATGTCATGAATTCATTCAATTTCTCTTCACAGATGTGACACTGTGTAGTTTGCTATATAATTTCTAGAATTTTGGAGTAAACAGCTATTATCATCTTCAAGAGATATCAAGTTCTTTCTGAAATATTTGTAATGGATCAGCATAGTGGAAGGTGTCACATACCAGTCTATCCACAGTCAGTGCTGTGAAAACATAAGTCCTTATGTTTGTTAATTCCAGGCTCACAGGTCAAATTATTCTCCTGAGCACGTTTTTCATAAACTCCCACGTGGCTTTGTTCTTCCCAAAGAGTGAGAGACCAAACTTTCACACCTGTGTAATTTATTATGCAACTGAAACCATTACTTACAGTGAGGTCATTTTGTGGCAGTTACTCATGATAAAATAGGATGAGAAATTAACTATTCTGTATTTTTGTTTTGTTTTCACAGGAATCAAAAATGTCAATAGAAGCAATGGATGAAAAACTTGCCGAGAAGTTATGGGAGAAGAGTGAAGTTATGGTTGGCCTCAAAACAGAAGATATTCACTTCTAGATCATTAAATTCTGTTAACATCTACTTCATATATGCAAGAGAGAATTATGGAGACTCTGATAATTATGAATTTGTTGACTTGTAGAAAATTCATGCTTCTAATATGCAAGTCCCAAACAAATTTTTTCTTGCGCTTCAGCCCATTATCATTATTGGTGAAACAGTAATACTAATCTATTGAGTCTGCAGTCATGGAAGTCATTGCCAGTTAGATCAAATGAAGGAAAGGTGAAGGAGTAGTTAATGGGAACAATGGGAAATGCAAAGAATGCACATCCCCAGTCTGTCAACACGAATTATAAGGTCGGAAACTGGGATTGTGGGTTCGAATCCCACTCAAGGCATGGATGTTTAGTTTGTGTGTGTGCGTTTTTCTGTGTTTGTGTACAGGTAGAGGCCTTGCAATGAGCTGATCACCCGTCCAAGGAGTCCTACCGATTGTGTAAGATCTAGAAAAACCGAAGAGAGCGGAGAAGTTCATGAAGGTAGTCCTAGGCTCACTGGGGCTGCAGTGCCAAGGAAAAAATATATATAAAGTGGAACGCGGATTAACAGAGTTAATTAATGACAAATTTGGTTTGGATAATGGAAAATTCGGATGACTGGATTCAATTCTTATCCGAGAAAGATACACTGCCATAACATCATCATAATATATTGTGCTATTATAATAAAACAAACAAAAAACCTTTTTAAGAAGGTGAAATTAATGTAATTACCCATTGCCATACCACACTTATTTTAAACTCTGAAGATTTCTGGGAATGGTGTATGACTCTTGTGATTATAGTGCTCTAAGGTTGTGCTCATCATCTGTTAATCTACTGAACATAACTTTTTGCAATTGGAACTGTGTTAATGCTTAGGTGAAAGGGTGGGAACAACCTTCTCTATTGTTTTTCTTTATTGCTAGCGGGGTGGGACTAAGTCCATTGTACTGCGGCAACTTCTGGCCTATTGTACCAGCCACAGATGTTAGGTGAGGGTGATTGTGGAGCAATTGGTGGAATGAAGATTGGCAGCGGAAACCGAAGTACTCGGAGAAAACCTGCCCCAGCGCCAATTTGTCCACCACAAATCCCTCTTGACCAGACCCGGGATCGAACCCGGGCCGCCGCGGTGGAAAGCCAGCGACTAACCGCTTGAGCTATGGCGCGACTTCTCTGCTGGTTGCATTAGAAGGAGCTACAATCAGCACTGAACAAGAGAAGCCAGTTTAACTACAGCTATATATGCATCTGAAATTTTATTGTGAAAGCTTCGAATATCTAAACGGTGGTGTAAATATGGTGAACTTACGAATGTTCCGAACAGGAACCAGAAAGGCCGACTATTTAAAAAAAAAAGGGACAACATTTAATTTCACTAAAAATATTTATGAAGAACAAAGCCTAAAAATGATGACGCTCATTATGCAGCGTCAGCAAATTTAATCTTTCCAGTAAATTACCATAGCGATATTCCATGTCTTGGAAAAATTTATTGTGGCCAAGGACTGCAGAGGCATGTACCGTCTTCGCTCGCTCGGAAGCCGGGATCGTGGGTTCGAATCCCATTCAGGGCATGGAAGTTTAGTTTGTGTGTGTGCGTTTTTCTGTGTTTGTGTACAGGTAGAGGCCTTGCGACGAGCTCATCACCCGCCCAAGGAGTCCTACCGAATGTGTAAGATCTAGAAAAACCGAAAGTGAACGGAGAAGTTCATGGAGGTAGGCCTAGGCCCACTGGGGCTGTAGTGCCAAGGAAAAAGAAGGACTACAGATTCTCTTTGTATGCACTCAAGTTTACTGGAATCAGTAACCGAATACTACTACTACTCCTACTACTCCTGCTAATAATAATAATAATAATAATAATAAATAATGTTATTTATTGAAGTATGATGTATTAATTTTGGCGTTAATTAGGAGTTGCTTACAAAATAGAAGAACAACTCCTTATGTGCATGTCATGACTGTCCATCTTGAGGAGGTATCAATGGCTAATCCTGTGAAGAGATTTGCTTAAATTTCGATGTGGGAGGCGTTCCCTGAGAGCTGAACAATTTTCCTTTTCAGCCACATTGATCCAGCATAATGTCCTATGTGCATAAGGTCATAATTGGAATGTTCCGAACGGCTTTCTTTCATTATATATATCCAGGGTCAGAGCTGTGCCCATTAGCCTGGGTATTAAAGGAAAACAGTTTAATTCAGGTTCTGTGAACTCTTGTGGGCATGGGCATGAGGAATTATGAATTTCCTAATTGCAAACCGCATAAAATGTATAGTCTAATTTTTGTAATTTAAAAATATACAAAACTATAAATTTTCCTGTGGTTTTGTATGGATGTAAGACTTGGCCTCTGATACTAAGGGAGGAACATAGACTGCGGGTGTTTGAGAACAGGGTGTTGAGGAGAATATTTGGACCGAAGAGAGATGAAGTGACGGGAGGTTGGAGAACACTGCATAATGAGGAGCTTCATAAGTTGTACTGTTTGCCATGCATAATTAGAATGAGTAAGTCAAGGCGGATGGGAAGGGCAGGGTATGTAGCACGGGTAGGTGGGTGAATAATATTAAAGTGGATCTTAGAGGGATAGGATGGGTTGGTGTGGACTGGATTGATCTGGCTCAGGATAGGGACCAGTGGAGGACTCTTATGAACACGGTAATGAATCTTCGGGTTCTGTAAAATGTTGAGAAGTTTTTGAGTAGCTGCACAACTGGCGGCTTCTCAAGAAGAGCTCGGCTCCATGGAGTTAGTAACGAGATTACAAGGTGTACAGCGCCAAGAAAAATAACATGAATTCGTGTAATATATAAAATATGGTTCCTACTTCACAGGAAAAAAAAATATACATGTTGATTAGAAAGACCAAAGGCTTGATGACGTTTACAGAGATAATTGGTCTTCTCTGAAAATCATACTTACTTAATCCGTTCCTCTTGGTGTCGAGGTTTGTTTTCTCATTTGGATCAGTTTACAGATGGTAGGACTCCTTGGACGAGTGATTAGCTCGTCGCAAGGGTTCTCCTCGAACACAGGACAACACAAAAACAGAATAAACATAAACACATACCAAACATTCATGCCTTGTGTGGGACTGAAACCCACGACCCCTGCACCAGAGCGAACGAAGACTGTACATACCTCAGACCGCTGTGCTACCGTGAGCGGCTCTGAAAACTATGCCAAAAGAAAAAGAAAATGTATTTGGGCAAATTGTAAAGACCTTTGTGTCATTCGACCGATGAACCTTAATAGGGAGCCTTCACAAGTGAACTGTACATGTCAATACGAAGATGCGTGAAAGGTAAAGACATTCTTACGTAACTCTGTTGTTTATGTCTGTATGATGATAAGGAATCACCACTAGTCGATCGCCAGTCCGGCTCGTCAGTTCGAAAGCTGTACTACCTCACACACTCAAGAAGAGAGAGATCGGTGATCATGACAGGTTCTGAGATTCCAAGTCAGTTTTTCTGGATTGTGGCTTTGTTGTTAGGTACGAAGTTTGTTAATTTCATTTCAGATCATAGTGTACACTGTTCATGATTGTACTTTGAAGGCGAAGTTAAGTTACATGCCAGTGTTTAGGCCTGGTGCATAGTGAGGTCTCGAAAGTAACTGTTAAGTTTCGCGTTGGATTTGAGGTTTTTACGTTGGTGACTATGAGGAGTAAGCCCATATAGATTGTGACGCCGTGTGGTTTGGAATTCTGAGCCTGCCTTCTATTTCTGCTGGCTCTCGCTGGATTTGGGGCACGCGGTAGCGTAGTTGGTCGCGGGTTCAAGTCCCGATGAGATCACTGATTTTTTTTTTCAATTGACCTAATCCTTCCAGCCGCGCTATGACCGTGGGGTTCACTCAGCCTCTAACAGAAATGAGTACCAGGATTTAATTAAATATTTTTCTTGATAGTAAAGCGCGGCCGGCGCATAAAGCTGACAACCTTTGTGCCGATTGTCTAGATCAGTGGTTCCCAACCTGTTGTCCGCGGACTCCCGGGGGTCCGCGAATAATTCAAAAGGGGTCCGCGGGATAGTTTATTTTCATTAAACTTTATCTTATCATGTTCCTTCCACCTGGGATATTGGCAGTGTATATGTCTGGCTCTTGAGGCCCATGGTTGAAGTAAAATTTAACGGGACTGTTTGTACCGTAACGGTACCTTCCCTTTGTAAAGCAGAGATGAATAACCAACGATCTGTGTAGCTTTTTCCAAGGACATTTTCTTTTGGCCGGCCCATTGCATCTCAGACCCGTGTTTCAGGGTGGACTGTTGTCCTTCTTACCTGCTGTCTGACCAGTCTCCCCCTCCTCCCCAC